CCGATGCACCGAGCCCATTCACATTTCTTGATGTAACTGATCAACTTTGTCAAGTTATAATTTTACTTATCTGTGTGTTTCAGAAAAATACTTCTGGTTTCAAAAAAGTTTGTATTTTTTGTTCTAGTAGTTATATTTATACTTTTCTATAGAGTCATTAACTCTCACTTATTTTACTATCTAGACTGTCCATTTTATTTTTTTTATTACTCAAAAAAAGCTTCATTTTTAAATTACCTTTCTGACTCTGTGCTTGGGCCTTCACCACTTTCACAATGATTTTCTGCTCCTCAATAAGGAAAGCATACTTGATCCTGTCATATACACACTTAGCACACATGGAACCACCACAGGCCCTGCTGACATATTTTTTTGTTTTAGACAATGTCATATGGACTTTAGGTCTCATAGCATGAATTCCTCAAAGTCAGCTTGGGCACACGCCACATGCATATTTTGGTGCTTTCCCAACCTTCTTGATATAAAGGTAAATGATTCTATTACAAGGGGTTCGGGACAGCCTAGTTTTGTTAGAGGCTGTATTGTAGGACAGCCTATGACAGTATGTCAAACACTGGACCATTCTGAACACCTAGGATGCTGTTCCCAGAAGAAAAAGGAACTAGACTGTCCATTTTTAAAGGCATCCTTCGAATCACACCTATTACCTAAACCAATAAACAATTGGTTTATTCTACTTTTCCTTTTCTCTTTTTCCATTTTCTTTTAGATACAATCATACCCTCTAACAGAAGACATAATGTTTATATATTATCCTTCCAGGTGTTCCCAGCATTGTTCTTTTTTTTTTTTTTAAACGATTTTATTTATTTATTCATGAGAGACATAGAAAGAGAAGCAAAGACACAGGCAGAGGGAGGAGAAGCAGGCTCCATGCAAGAAGCACGATGTGGGACTCAATCCCAGGAATCCAGGATCCAGCCCTGAGCCAAAGGCAAATGCTCAACCGCTGAACCACCCAGGCACCCCTCCCACATTGTTCTAATCTTAGCTCTACAACCAAATACAAGAAAACGGTTCACCATCTACCTTTTGTCAAGGTCTACCTTGTCACCTCTTGGTTAGATGAACCTCACACTCTACAGAGTCCCCAGGAAGAGCATATGTATAGTTTTCTGAGTTCTTCCATTTCAAAACCTATTTTCTCTAATCAGCATACTTGGCAGCTTGGATTGGCACAAAAATCTTTGTTCACCCTTTCTTTCCTTAAGTTTCTTGAAAATGATGTTCTTTTGTTGTCTTCCTTTGAATGATGACTTGAAAAAAGTCTGTCTCTTGCCCTTGAAAATTATTTCATATTTTTGAAACAGGCACTGAGGATTTCTCATCTTATCTTTAATGTCTAAAAAAGTTTAATAGTCTAAAGTCTAACAGTTTTCTTATTTTTAAAGTCTAGACTTAGACTTTAAAAAGTTAAGATGTTTTCTGATCATTCCATTTTGCAATACCTGGAGAGCTCTTTCAATGTACAGATTCAATAATTTTATTTCTAAAAAGTTTTCTTGAGTTATAGTTTTAAATACTAGTTCTGGGGGCACCTGGTTGACTCAGTGGAACATGCATCTCTTGATTTTGGAGTTGTGAGTTCAAGTCCTTGGGTGTAGAGATTCCTCAAATATAAAACCCTAAAAAACTTAAAAAACTAGTTCTGTTTCACAGTTTTGATTTTCTTCCCTAGGGATTCTATTTATATGTAATATGGGACCTTCCTTTCCTGTTTTCCAGTTCAATCCCTTTCTCTTCGATATTTTTGTACTTCTTTATCTTATCCCCACTCCCTCTTGGTTGTTTCGGTTTTCCTTCAAAGCCCCTTATTAAATCTTCACATAAGCTTATTTTCTCCTTGGGGACCTTTAATTTAGACTTAATTTTGAGATGATGTTGTCATCTTCTCTAAATTTTCTGAGCTCAAGCAACTGCCATTTCTTATCTGTCCATTCTGATTCTTAGGTTTAAATTCCTGATCCATGGTGCTTTTCTCATATCTTCAAATGTTTGTCTGAGGATATTTAATTCAGTTTTGAGTGCTATACAACAGTTTTCTAATGGTTCATGGTGATTTTAGGAATATAATTTTTTTTTGCCTAAATATTTTGATTCATGGGTTTGTTTTTTTTTTTTCCATACAATTCTGTATGGAAGTGGTCTGTTTTTGTACATTCCTATTCACTTCATGGAGAGAGTTCCTAACTTAAGCACAGCTTCTCCTGTTAGTTTAGTAAAAAGCAGTTTCTTTACTTGGAGATAGTGGTGGTGGTAAAACAGAAAGGCTGGCAGGTCTTATTTACCCTTTATTTCAGTCCGATGCTTAATTTCCCTCTCATTTTTTTTTTTCTTTTGCTTCTAAACCAAGTCTCCAAGTTTGGCTGATTTCTTCCTCTCTTTTTTTTTTTTCTTCCTCTCTATATAATGCTTCTTTGAGACTGTTACTTCTGATACCACAAACTTTCAAGTCCCTTTCTTATAACCAGAGCTGTGAACTCCCAAGATCTAGACTTATATTCAGTATTTCAGCAGTTAGCCTTTGAATTTCTGTGATTTTTTTTTCTGTGCTTCATCTAAGTGTTCTAACTCCTATATATTTTTGTTTCACGGAATCTCTAAAGCCTCTTATCCCCAGCTTAGCACCTACAGGCTTAAAGCAGTGGGAAATAAGAACAGTCCTGGAATTTCGTTTTCTTCTCTACCTAGAAGGCAGTTTGAAGGTGATGGTATTCTTTCTCTCCTAGTAATGCTGAAGGTTATGTGTGCTTTGCTTTCCTTATTCATTTTATATTTTTTGAGGATTTGTAAGGAACATTGGAATTAGGTAGCCTCCTTTATCCTTTAGATCTGGCAGTTTTCTACCAGTTTTTTTGTTTGTTTTGTTTTTTTGTTTTTAAGGAGTCCTTAGTCCTCAGTAAGTAGCCTACTTGAAATACTATACTCTAATTCACGGAAGAAGTCTGAAAAAAGGAAAGCTGTATTCCTACAGATGGGTACAGGTACCATACAAAAATTAAAGAAATACTGGAAGTTGACAGGGAATCTGGAGCACCAAGAGTGGGTAAATCACGAGGATTTCAAAGGACTCTAAAGGAAGTGAATGACAGAGACCAAAAATGGGAAGAAAGACCACAAAATACGTAAGAGGAGACAATAAGAAAATGACGTAAATAAGGTGAACATAGAGACAAGATATGGATGAAAAATAGTCACAATGTGGGATAGGTAAGACTAATATACTAACAATGCTGTCCAGTAAGGAGAAAGCAGGATGATAATTTGAGGCAGATCAATTAGAATGAAGAACAAAGGAAATGAAGAGTTAAACCGGAAGATACACATTTTAGAAAACACTGCAGGAAAAAAAAGCTTGGAGGAAAAAAACAGGTAAACAGAGAAGAAAGTGAAATACCTTCACTGTAAAATTTATATTATCTGCCAAGACATGAAGCATATATATTACTACGGATAAGCCAAATAGGGGGATGCTACTCATTCAAGTAAAAAGATAACCTTAAGGCTGGTACAAAAACATTTATTTGAGTGACAGTGAAAACAAGCTGGTAGGTTTGAAGAGAGTAATCTGGTTAAGAGTAATAACATTACTCATTACTTAAAACATTTCAAAATGCCTTCCTTAATCTTAATGAAAATATACTTCCAAGAACTTATGCTATAGAAAAATTCCAATAAATTTTTAAAAGATATGTATATGAGAATGTTTATTCTAGCCTGGATTGTAATGCGTAAAAAGGGAAAACTTTTTTTTTTTTAAAGATTATATTTATTTATTCATGAGAGACACAGAGAGAAAGAGACGCAAAGACACAAGCAGAGGGAGAAGCAGGCTCCATGCAGGGAGCCCGATGCGGGACTCGATCCCAGGGCTTTGGGATCACGCCCTGGGATCAAGGCGGCGCTAAACTGCTAAGCCACGAGGGCTGCCCTAAAAAGGGAAATCTAAATGATCAACATGGGAGTGGGAAGGGAAAAGACAATACAACAGATTGGTTAAGAATGCAAGTGGAGAGAAGCCTGGGTGACTCAGTCAGTTGAGCATCCGACTCTTGCTTTCAGCTCAGGTCATGATCTCAGGATTATGAGATTGAGCTCTGTGTCAGGCTCTGTGCTCAGTGTGGAGTCTGTTTGAGATTCCCTCTCTCCTTCTGCTCATGCACATCTCCAAAAAATCTTCAAAAAAAAAAGGGGGGGGGGATTGCAAGTGGAGTCTAATTGACTAGATTTACTATTACTGTACCACTATGTCACCTTGAGAAAATTAACTTCTCTAAGTCTTGATTACTTCATTTATAAAAGCCAATTTTTGATACATCTAGCTCACAGAACTACTGTAAGGAATTAAAGAAAAAATCTATTTAAACACTTAGGACACAGTATTTGGCATATAACAAACACTTTAGGGAAGACTATTTTTTAAAAATATTTTATTTATTTATTCATAGAGACAGAGAGAGAGAGAGAGGCAGAGACACAGGCAAAGAGGGAGAAGCAGGCTCCATGCAGGGAGCCTGATGTGGGGACTCGATCCAGGGTCTCCAGGATCACGCCCTGGGCTACAGGCGGCGCTAAACCGTTGCACCACCGGGGCTGCCCAGGTAAGACTATTATTATTACAGTTATTATACTATGATCTCTTTATGTGTCTAATAAAATATAAGCATGAACGACACGGGGAGGATATACATAAAACGTTGAAGTATCTTAGGAGTATCATGAAGTGTATGTAACTAGAGAATACACACTTTCTACTTTATGATTAGTATGTTATATACATGTATTTTTTTCAAAGTTCAAAAACAGGAGACTGGATAATGGAGTTACCACTATTTATGGATGTGATAAGTCTTTAAAAAGCAAGTACATACTTAAGAACTATAATTAGTTTGACTTTCATCATTTTTTTGACATCAAGCAATATATACTCTAGTTAATCACTTTGTAAGAAGAAAGCAAAATATTATGAATTTACCTACCCCTGCAGTTGTTGCTGTTGGTGAGAGGAAAGGGGCACTCTTGGTTTGTTCCAGCCAGTATAATCCTGGTTACACCTCAGTTTTTTAACAGAAAGAGGAGCTGGTTGAGGAAGAAATCCCAAACTTCTTTTGGCAGAGGGAGTTTGGCCTGAAACATTAGTCCTGTAAAAAAGAATAGATAGTGCATAAGCAAAACAATTTTGCCTGCTATTTTTTCCCCTAGCAAATTCAGAAAAGTCAATGTCTGGGGGAAAAAAAAAATCCTAAACTTGGGGTAATATCAGTAATAATGATTACCTGGGGAGAAATTCCCCAAATATAAATTAGCAAATCTGTCAATAGATAGCTGAAGAGGCATATGATAGTATACCTAATCTATAATTAAAATAATTAAGTTAATGACTTAAGAAAAACTATAATATAGTTTCACTTTGTTATTTACTTTTATTCACTTAATGGATATGATACACAGTTTTCCCAGTCTTAAAAACATTTTGGCAGTTAACTTTTTCCACTATTACAAATAATGATACAACAAATACTCTTTTATACAATCTCCTAGAGAACTTCCTTTAGTTTATATGCTTAGAAGTAAAAATGTTAGGAATAAGTATTTTTGATTTTTAGTGTTTTGAGATCTTGTGATCATTTTTCAAAAAGGCTGTACCAATTTCTATGTCCACAAATAGCAAATTTCCATTTCTTCACATAATCTCCATTACATTACTGAGTGAAACTGATCCAACTGTTGTTTTGTTTTGCATCTTCCTGATTACTACTGAAGTTGAACGTATTTTTATAATCCTTTGCTCTTTTCTGAGCTGCTTTTGCATATCTTTAGTTTTATATTGGGTTCTTAAGAATTCGTGGTTTTTCATATATTTCACATTCTAATCTTCTATTATATATTCTAAGTCTTTAGCTTTTACATAATCTCTATCAACCTTTTATGGTTTCAGTGTTTTTCATAATTCAGTTTTTATTGGTTGTTCTGAGAACAGTAAACATTTCAACTTGTTAATTCTTTACGTAACAAAAATCTAAAAATCATCCATCTATAATTCTTTTTTAAAAGTTATTCCAGTGACCTTCCAGCTTAAAATTTGAAGGCAAATCTTCCTTAAGTACCAATTTATGATAATTGATAATAATTTTTCTTATCAAGTACCAATATCTTCAAATGTTGATAGGCTTCAAATGTTATATGGTTAAGTCCCATTGATTCATAATTTATATCATATATACTACATACTCAAATTTTCAATCTTGCATAGCACATTAACAAAGTTACTTAGGAAAACTGGACTGCCAGTGACCAACATGTTACAGAGTGCACAAAATTCTGACTAGGAGCCAAGATCAAGGAGTGGTTTTCTTTAGAAAACAATTCTATCAAAAACATGGGTTAAGAAGTAATTTAGGGACACCTGGGTAGCTCAGTGGTTGAGCATCTGCCTTCAGCTCAGGGAGTGATCCTAGAGATCTGGGATTGAGTCCCGCATCGGGCTCCCTACATAGAACGTTTCTCTCTCTGCCTCTGCCTGTGTCTCTGAGCCTCATTCTCTGGGTCTCTCGTGAATAAATTAAAAAAAAAAGTAATTTAAAATGTCCAAGACCTATTAAATGCATGACTGACTGCAAATGGCCATTTAGTATGCTTGATATTAAAGGATAGAAAAACTACTCCATCTATGGAATGTTGAGCTGACACCCAAGACAATCAAAGTCCCCCATATTCAATTATCCCACTATTTTCTGGTTGTATCAAGAAACAACCAGCAAATGATTTTACCTCTTAAAAAAAATTTACACTTAAAAAAAAAATGGGATGAGGTGAGATCCTCTCCTTCTTAAAAATGTTTCTAGAGCTACTGAAAACCTTACATTTATAAAATAGTTGATTAAAATATTCCTCTAGATTGTACAAGAAGGGAAACACAGACCACTGATAAGACATGGTACATGATACATATATATATATACATATATATACATATACATATATATATATATATATATATTTAAAGATTTTATTTATTTGTGAGAGACAGAGAGAGAGAGAGAGGCAGAGACACAGGCAGAGGGAGAAGCAGGCTCCATGCAGGGAGCCCGACATGGGACTCGATCCTGGGTCTCCAGGATCAGGTCCTGGGCTGAAGGCGGCGCTAAACCGCTGAGCCACCCAGGCTGCCCAAGACATGGTATATGATATTAATCAGATATGTCTTCTCTGTCTCCTGCTTCATCTGTGGCTAGATTCTCATTTTTAGATTCTCCATTTTTGTGTGTGTATTTTTTAAAAGACTTTCTGTATTTAACAGAGAGAGAGAGGGAGCATAAGCAGGGAGAGCTGCACAGAGAGAGGGAGAAGGTTCTCCACTGAGCAGGGAGCCTGACACGGGCTCGACCCCAGGATCACAACCTGAGCTGAAGGCAGACACATAACTGAGCTACCCTACGCGGATGCTCATTTCTGTTTCTGCAGGTAAGTCTTTTGTTTCTTGATTAGCCACTTTAAGCCCATTTTGGTCTCCTTTTCCCTCTTTGCACTTTTTATCTGAAGATTTATTCTTTCCTACTGCCTTTTTGGCTTTGTTTCTACTTTTGCAGGCACAGGTTTCCCCTCCTTCACTGCCCCCACCCACACACAGAGCTGACTTTCCTCTTGAGCATCCCGGTGGCAGGCCTATCAAGGAGAGTCTTTGTGAAGCTGGGCTGCATGGTTGCTGCCTTATGGTTTCAATTTTTGTGTCTTAAGAATTAATTCTATAATTCTTTTTTTCTAATCTAAAAAATTTTTTTTTAAATTCTATAATTCTATTAGGTCACAGAATATTTTCCTATTATTTTCTCCTAAAAGTTTTAATTCTTATTTAGGTCTTTAATCTCCTTAGATTTTTTTTTTTAAGATTTTATTTATAAGTATTCTCTACAACCCAATGCAAGTCTGGAATTCACAACCCCAGATTAAGGGTCACATGGTCTACTGACAGCCAGCCAGGTGCCCCTACCTTAAAACTTATCATTAGCTTTCTAACAGTTGCATCTCTTACTGTGCACTACTAAACACTGTGGTTTGAACAGTGCAAGGTATATGTGCTTCCATTCTTTCTCAACCTTTCTTCATCTTTATGTTGTAGTTGTTTTAAATAGTATATAGATTATTTTTCTTCCTTTAAAATCCAATCTTTCAAAAAAATAAAATAAAATCCAATCTTTCTCTAACTGGAATACTTTATATTTGTATTTAACATCATGACTGATTTGGACTAATAACTTTTAATATCCATGTACTAATTCTTTTTTTTTTTAATTTCTTCTTTTTTTTATTATTTATTCATGATAGTCATAGAGAGAGAGAGAGAGAGGCAGAGACACAGGCAGAGGGAGAAGCAGGCTCCATGCACCGGGAGCCCGATGTGGGATTCGATCCTGGGTCTCCAGGATTGCGCCCTGGGCCAAAGGCAGGCGCCAAACCACTGCGCCACCCAGGGATCCCACTAATTCTTTTTTTTTTTTTTTTAAGATTTTATTTTATGTACTCATGAGAGATACAGAGCGAGCGAGAGGCAGAGGAAGAAGCAGGCTCCACGTAGGGAGCCCAACGTGGGACTCGACCCCGGGTCTCCAGGATCAGGCTCTGGGCTGTAGGCGGCGCTAAACCACTGTGCCACCGGGGCTGCCCCCATGTACTAATTCTATCACCTATGTCATTTCTGAGTATTTATTAATTTTTCTCTTCCATGAGTTGTATTTTCCCATTTGTTTGTATGCCTAGTATGTTTTCTTGGATGCCAGACATTGAGAATTTTATTTTATTGGGTGCTAGGTATTTTTGATTTCTATAAACATTCTGGAATTTTGCTCTGAGATGTGGTTAGGTTACCTGGAAAAGGTACGATTTTGGGGTCTTGCTTTTAAGGTTATGTGAAAACTGAGCAGCAGTTAGTCCAGGGATAGATCTCCTTACTAATGAGGTATGACCTTTCTTAGTGTGCAAATGCCTACTATTAGGAACAAGAATGATGCCTGGCTTTATGTGAACTCCCAAGTATTATTCACTTAGATCCTGTGGGTGATTCCGTCCCAGGCCTTGGCTAGTTTACTTACCTGCATATGTTGATCAGAAGTCAACTGAATACCCAGGGGGACCCTCTGCAGATCTCTGCAGTTCTTTCTCTGTGCCGTTATCCCCTCTGGTCTCTGTTCTAAGAGTTCCAGATGCCTTGGCCTTCCAGGACTCCTAGCTCCATTTCCTCAACTCAGGAAGAGCAACAGGGCCCTGCTTGGTTCCCTCTCCTGTGTGGCAGCCTGGGAACTTTCTCCAGGAAGCAAGCTGGAGCAGTCATAAAATTAATTTCATTTGCTTCCCATCTCTAATGGATCTCTGTCCTTCACTGCCTCATGTCCAATGTCCTGAGATCCATTAATGTTTCATGTATTTTGTCCAGGTCCTCAGTTGTTTCATGAAGGAGGGCAAATTTGGTCCTTATTCCATTTTGGCCCGAAGTGGAAGTCATCTTTAACTCTTTAATACAGGCAATTTAAGTCCTCAAAAGGAACTTAAAATGTTTAATTTCCCTACACTCTTCCCCACTTCTCTATTTCTAATTGTCTAGTAATTTTTTTGCTTTCAATCCTATTGTATCCTCATTTTATAAAAAACTATCAAACCATTCAGATGTACAGAATAACCCTAAGTGGCTATTAGTCATAATAGTTGCCTCTGGAAAGATAAACAACTAGGAATCAGAAAATAAAGGGAGATTTACTTTCCACTGTATGCACCCTGTAACTTCTGAAATTTCTACCATATGCACTTATTAATTATACAGAAGGATTTTGAAAGTATTTAGATTTTTATATATGCTTCTATAATTCTGCTCACAGATATTTTCACTCCTTCCTTGGTTCAGTTTGCTTCTTGCAGAATAAATCGTCTCTGTATCTGCATTTGTCTGCATTTTAAATTATAATTTATTTATATTTTATATAATTTTATATAATTATAATCTTATTTATAATTGATTTATAATTTAATTAGAATTCTCTAATACAGAATTCTTTGATGCTATTACTCCAGTATCTTCTGTTTCTATTGTTGTCAACTCTTTTCCGTTTTTAAATGACATATTTTCCTTCAAGTAGCTTTTAAAATTTCATGTACAATGTGGATTTTTTTGTTTTGTATCTGCTGTTTGGCATTTGTTGAAGCTTTTCAAGGTTGTGGACTTTCATCATTTGCATCCATTATTTCTTTTTTTTTTAATTTTTATTTATTTATGATAGTCAGAGAGAGAGAGAGAGAGAGAGAGAGAAAGAGAGAGAGGCAGAGACATAGGCAGAGGGAGAAGCAGGCTCCATGCACCGGGAGCCCGACGTGGGATTCGATCCCGGGTCTCCAGGATTGTGCCCTGGGCCAAAGGCAGGCGCTAAACCGCTGCGCCACCCAGGGATCCCCTGCATCCATTATTTCTGACAAATTCCTGGTCTTTATTTTCCTTGGTCTTATTTTCTCCAAAATACTACTAAGACATGGAGGATGGGGGTGCCCTGGTGGCTTAATTGGTTAAGCATCTGACTCTTGGTCTCAGCTCAGGTCATTATCTCAGAGTTGTGAGACCAAATCCCACACTGACCTAGGCATTTGTTGCAGATTCTGTTTAAGATTATTTCCCTCCCGGATGCCTGGGTGGCTCAGCAGCTGAGAGTCTCTGCCTTTGGCTCAGGGTATAATCCCGGGGTCCTGGGATCAAGTTCCACATCAGCCTTCTTGTGAGGAGCCTGCCTCTCCCTCAGCCTTTCTCGGTCTCTCATGAATGAATAAAATCTTTAAAAAAAAAAATTATCTCCCTCCCTCTCCTTCTGCCTCTCCCCCTCACCACCCGTTCACATGCCTTCTCTAAAATATTTATTTTATATATATCTTTAAAAAAGACATGGAAGATCAGACAATGGAGGTCAACATAAGCCTCTTCATTTCACATTGGCCACCTTTTCTCTGTGCTGCATTCCACAACCAGTTGTTCTTGACATGTTTAGTAGCTGCCTCAGTTACCGACCTCTAATCTGCATGGGACTTTACATTAGAGGTTCAGAATTCTTGCCCCTATGCAGGTAACACAGATGCCAGTCACTGAAATTCCCATTTCTGTGTATTTGCTCTCTGCTCAAGGAGCATCAGGCGAGCAGCACATTTATGGTTCTAAACACAGGTAATTCTACAGAAGTGTTTTGCCTTGGTTTATTACCACAGAGAACAGTTCTAGATATGCAGCTTCAAATAAGAAACTAAATTCTGGCCTGGGGTCATATTCAGTTCTTAAGCATGAGATTAGGCTTTGAAGACTCAAACCTAAATACTTGGCTCTAGTCCATGTTTTCCATTGTGTCTACAACTTTAGTTTTTCTCAATATTAGTTTTTCTCACTGATTTGGAAATTTTCACTTCATCTCTGAATGCAGTTTTGCATTAAAGAAAATTTCTTTCTTCAGCCATTCCTATATACAATGAATTCTGTTATTCTGAGAAGAAATTTGTACTATATAACTAAATTTAAGTTTTTTAAAAACCTAGACTCTTTTAAGATTCTTCTAATAAGCAGATATATGTCTCTCTCCTAAATTCAAATAACTTCGTCACCGCTGCAGTCATAAAGTGTTTGAAATACCACCCAAGGAGTAGTCCTTTGATCCAGTTCTGCTGCCATAAAAGGATGATGAGTGTAAAGGTAAAAGCCCCAAAGAAACCAAACAGGAAAATATCTAAAAATACAATATCAAATTCTTTACTTCATCTCATTTTATCAATAATTAAGATTTTTTTTTACCACTCTGAATTAAATTCTACTAAAAAACCAAAATATTACTTAATAGGTCATTACATAGGATATCTTTATACACCACTATTACGCTTACCTTTTTACATTTACCACTACCCCTCCAGGCTACATTCCAAGATCATGCCTTCTCCACAAGTACTTAGCAGTTGTCTCATATATTTATATTCAGTAAATCTCAAAAAAATTTAATCTGTATCTATAGGATCAGCAACTAAATTTCTGACTAGCCTTTCCCAGTAAAAGATACTAATGTGTAAGCTTTTATTTTTAAAGAATTTATTTATTCATGAGAGACACAGAGAGAGAGGCAGAGATATAGGCAGAGGGAGCAGCAGACTCCCTGTGGGGAGCCCAATATGGGACTCGATCCAGGACCCCAGGATCATGCACTGAGCTGAAAGCAGATGTTCAACCACTGAACCACCCAGGCATCTCCTGCAACTTGTTTTTTAAAGCAAATGTCTTAACTTTTGGTAGTAGCTTAACAAATACACAGGCAACAAAGGCAATTTAAAATGCCTCAGAAGAGATCTTAATATGTTCACTGCTTGGCATGATGGAGAATACACTGTTTAGAATCTGAGCGCATTGCCAGTCAACAACCTGTGGCCTCAGTACCTAGACCTCAGTTTATTAATTTGTTGAAAAATGTTAAAAAAAAAAAAAAAGAGAGAAAGAAAAAGAAAAAGCATCTGAAAACTAAAACATTTCCAGAGTACTGTTTAACTAAAATGTCATGAGTCTATGATTCTCATCAGTTTCATTATTTTAAATTAGGGTATTCACTTAGTGCATAATGCACAGCTGACCCCATCATTCAATATTCTGAAGAAGAGAGCACCTCAAGCTCTTCACAAGGTCTATTACCAACCCATACCTGTCTAAGTTAGTGCTACCAGAGGAGTAGTCCTTGGATCCAGTTCTGCTGCCATAAAAGGATGATGACTGTAAAGGTAAAAGCCCTAAAAAAAACCAAACAGGAAAAATTTAATTCTTAAATCAACTATTCAAGTTGATTTAGTAATAAAATTATGCATTAGGCCTGTTTATATTTAACTCTTTTCCCCCTTTCTTTTCATTAAAGTAATATATACTCATGTTAGAAGATCAAACACTGTGGAAAGGTTGTTTAGGACAGCAAATACTCTCCTGTCCAAAAGCTCTACAAATTTTGCTGCTAATTTCTTAACTACTTTTTAAAACTTTTCCTCACTTCCTTTATAATGCTAGATAATGTTTCTATTTCTCAATTTATTTCATTATAAACAGCATCAGTTACCTCTATTATGAAAAATTAGAAATTTCTCATTTATATTACCCCATTCTCGGGCAAAAGATTTTTTTTTTTTGGCTTAACAAAATACTTAAAGCATTCTGTTTTCTAACTATAGGTTGACTATAAAAGGTGAAAACCAGTAAATGGAGTTTACATAATATATTATTATTTCAGAGGTACGAATTTTATTAGATACTTTTTTCTCTAGAAGAATATCACAATCCCGAACCACTAAAAGAAAAATGTTTCTAGAGTCCTAATCAAATGAATTCTCTTAACCTCTCAAAATCATGCCATATTTTAGCTTGCTTCAATTTAATTTCCACCTGATATAATATTTAAATTAATACTACATAGTGGAGTCTCTAAGGAGGATCAGAGAGATATGTTAAATGTGCAAACATTCCCATCAATTCGTGGACAGTCTTTTAGTTTTTGTAAAAACAGGGTACAAGCTGAGCTTAACTGCTTTAGGGCAATACTTCCAAGATGTTCTGGAACTTCTAACATGTAGCAACACTGATAAAATTCAGTTTTAACCACTTTAACTCCTTGGATTCATTTTATGGTCCAGGTACTTTGACAATGAAATAGTTTAATTTTAGGTAGTTAATTAGGAAAGAAAGTAAATTTTTTGCTAATAGAATAAAAATTCCTTTACATTTCTAATACTTCAGGCAAGTACTGGATACAAATTGGCACCCAATAACTAGTACTGAATCATGCAATATTCCTGAATAATAAAGAGAGATAATCCCAGTTTCAATTTTTATTTCTAGTCTTAATACAGTATGTCATATAATAAATGATTATCTTATATGAAGACCAAATACTTACCTGATGTCCTATTCTCTTCTGACTGTTTCAAACTCAGCTGCTTCTCTCTACTGCTGGTTAAATACTTTCTGGAGGGATCTGTCATAGCCTTGTTGTTCCTACAGTTAATAATTTAATTCAATATATGCATAGGTATATAAAGACACAGTTCTTAATTTTAAGTAGTTATCATTTCAGAATATTTACATTTCACATGTAGTTAAAATTCCTTAAGTCACATTTCCTCCATATATTACTCCCAAATACCTAAACAAGTGGAGCAGGATCAGTCAGAAATAAGCTCATGCTTTGATTAAAAGTGCTTATTTTAGGAGACCCATCATGCATATAGCAGATAATGCAGATACTCTACCCAGACTCACTCTGACCCCACTTTTGTGTCCTCTCTTCCACACCAATTTAGGTTTGTTTTTGACAGCCATACCCAGGGCTCTTTTCCATAGATTGTCCTCAAGCTACTAGAGTTCCTTTACCTGCACTCTGAGAGTCACAAGTAAGGTCAAGAAGCCCAAGCCCATTTCCCTTGCCTTGGATGAGAACAACTTTAAAGTGAAAAATTTTTTTAAAAATGGTTATATAACAACATTTCCTCTTTGTAATTAGGATGAAGCCTAACCTCTGCTTGATTTTTGTCTGAGATCACATTCAGGCTTCTTCACTTCCTATACTCACTGACTGACTTGCTTTCCCTACTCCTTTCCTGTTATCCTCTGGGAGTACTTTCTTAATAAATAATCACACAAACCACCATTTCAGGGTCTGCTTCTAGAGAACTTGATCTACAACAGCTGTTTGGAGAAATGGGCCTAGGAAGCATACTTCTAAGCACAGGATTCTGGAATTGGACCATTTATTTGGCAATGGTAACAGAAATCCTACTTGTGAAAATCCCTCTAGGACCTTATATTTTACAATTACTACAATTTTTCATCTGTAGTGAATTGGGATGGAATAAATTAGAAGAGAACATGGCTCATGCAATATCTCTAACATGCAAGAAATGTGGTAGATCACACAATGGATCTTACTGGAGTTACAGAAATGTTCTAAAACTAGATTATGGTGATGTTGCACAACTTAATCAATCTACCCAAAATTACTGAATTGTACATTTTTAAAAAGTGAATTTTATAATATGTAAATATGTACTTCAATAAAGTTTAAAAATATGTCCCAAATTATTCCTTTCCTTGTCCCTGTCAAGAAATCCAGTCTAATCTATTTTCCTATTCCGTAATGGGATGGCTTTGTGATTTCCTTTCCCCAAAAGACTGCAACAGATATTAAGAGTTTGTAACTCCTGATTGTAAGGCTAACAGCACTTTGCAGATTTATGTTTACTTTCTTGGAACCCTGACATTGCTTTGTGAGTAACTCCAGGCTAACTTGTTAGATGATGAAAGACACACGGCCCAATCATTCTTATCACCCAACTACTAGGCAGCCAATATGGGTAAGGCCATTGTGGACCAACCAACTACTAGCCAACTCACCAAATGACCATGGATGTGTGACAAAATGAGAGTACTCAGCCACAATCAGCCAATTCCAGCCCAGATAAGCAGAACCACTCAAGTCGCCATTAACTCATAGGCGATAATAGCTACTATTTTAAGACACTACATTTTGGAGTGGTCAACAGATAACTGATACAAATGATATAGAATAATAACCATAAAGACTATAGAACTGGTTGGTTGTTGCTATGAGTACTGATCCACTCAAGAGAGAATATGATAGATTCAGCTGAGCCAACCATCAACTTAAACACAAAAACACCATGAGGAATCACTCATCCAAAGTGACTGGATCAAAATCATCAGTTGCATCCCAGCTCTTTAGGAATTGAGAGTAAGACCATGCTATCTGCAGCAAAAAAAAAAAAAAGTATATATTTCTTAGGAAGTATCACATACTACTCCTGGCATATTACTAAAGACTGACTATCTGACTATGGGTCATCAACCAGAGCTCGTCAACATGAGCTGGGTGCTATCATACTCCTGAAGTCATAAGATCAGGAAGATAGAGGAGTAATCCTTAGAAAATGGAAGTGGTATACCTAGGATGAGTTCTACATAAACAGGAATAGATAACAAGAACAGGCTTTATGAGTACTCCCTATACCCAATGAAAGAAGGAAAAAAAAAAACCTGGCTCGATTCATGGATAGAGCATCTCAGTATCTTGCTAGAAAATGAAGTGTTGTTGCACTAGAGAGCCATTACTGGACTGCCCAAAAAAAGGGGATGGTGAAAGGAAATCCTCCACTGTGCAGAGTTTGAGAGGTGCATTTCATTCACCACTCTGTATGGAGAAAGGAGTGGGCTATGGATTCCTAAATAGTGGCAAACTGTTTACATGGATAGTCAGGAGCCTGCAAATAACAGGCCTGGAAGATCAGGGAGAAATGATTTATGAAGAGATAAATGAATAGCCATATGGAAATGTATATAAAGGGTGAAGATCTTTTTCACATATTAATGTTCACCAGAGAACTCCACTACAGAGACATTAAAAAATCAGGTCCTGGTTCCCCCACAGGCGGAACTTTTTCACCCATGGGAATAATAAGAATCCCATTTAATCTAAAGCTATGGCTGTTACTCATTTTGGGCTCCTCATGTTGGCAGAGCATCAGGCAAAGAAAGGAAATGCTATACTGGCAGGAGTAACTGGTTTGATTATTATAAGGAGGTAGGGTTGATGCTATAGCTATATAATGAGGGCAGGAATATGTTTGGAATAATAGGAGCACACTAGGGACTCTCCTAGTGCTATCATGTTCAGTTTTAACTACGAATAGGCAATCTCAGCAACCATGGCCTGCACAAGCACAGAGTGACCAGGGGCTCATCCCCACAGGGATGCAGATCTTAGTCATATCACTAGGCAAATCACCAAGACCAGCAGAAGTATTAGTGAAGAATGCAGTAAATCTAGAACAGATGGTAGAAGAAAATGATGATAGTATCAGTTATAGCCTCAGGGCTATCTATATCAATAAGGACAAAAAGGACTATAGCTCATCCCTTTAACTCCCCTTTTGTAAGATTTTCATCCAGATATTGGGCAGCATCAATGTGAAGAACCTGTGATAACATGGAATGAATTTAATAAGTAATGCTCCAACAGAGCCCCTCCGATCCCTTCGTGTTACACCTCCAAAATGTGTTTTCAACAGTTAGCACCTGCAGTTCTTCTTCAGAGGACTGCCTTTGGGCGACTTAACATATTCTGTCCATCTGGGCAGAGCCACAGAACCAAAGACTGTACAGTATGAGAACACAAAAGCCCAACTTCCTTACTTCAATTTGGAACAGACCCAGAGTCCCTTGCTGGATCAAGATAAAGCCTACTCTCCCACAGAGATCACACCCTTGGTTGGCTTCCTCCCTTCCCTGTCCTATTTTCCTCACTCTGGTCTCTCTTATGGGCACTTTCTTAACAAGTCACTTTTCAAGTATATTAATCTACAGTCTTCTAAGAAACTTAAACTTCAAAAAATCTAACTGTGATATTGTAAAAAGTATTATTAGCCCAGAACAAAGATCAGAAACTTAGGGCTCACCAGACAGAATTCTAAATGGGAAAAGTGAGATGACCCCAAAGCGTGGTGAATATGGTGAACTGGCATGCAATTGTCTATTACAACCACTGTTTAGCATATCTGTCCTATAAAAGCCAGAAAGCTAAAAAACTACATTTCCTAGTTAAGTGTTCAGGATGTGAATTAAGATAAGGTAATTACATAGAATTGTATAAGATCTGCAAAGTGGAAGTAAGACAGAGATCATGTGTTCTACTGTGATGGCAAAAACCATTTTGGAAGTGTCTGGTTTTTCTATAGAGATTTCTAATCTTGGTAGTGTCAGCATGGTTCCAGAGATGACAGCTTCCAATTCAGCTATTAGATTTGGCAATAGAGACACCTGGGTGGCTCAGTGGTTGAGAGTCTGACTTCAGCTGAGGGCGTGATCCTGGAGTCCTGGGATTGAGTCCCATATCGGGCTCCCTGTATGGAGCCTGCTTTTCCCTCTGCCTATGTCTCTGCCTCTCTTTCTCTGCGTCTCTCATGAATAAATAAAATCTTAAAAAAAAAAAAAAAAGATTTGACAATAGCCAGGAGCATCTTTAGTGACCTGATCTGTGGCATAGTTCTCAAAATCATCCTGAAAGCTTAACCTATAGCCTGTATTTTCAGGTTTCCTAATGATTCTGAAGTCATTTCATACTCTCTGAAGGCAAACATTTTTGTGTGTAAACTAGCTGAAGTGAATTTTATTTCCTACAACTGGACCCTGAATCCACAAATTTTGTTACTAGAAGTGGGGTACTATCATAACAAATCTAAAATATATTGCACTACCTACAGTAGGAAGGTAGAGAGTAAGGACTCCGATATTACAGAAAGCTGGTGGTGATTTTTTTTTAATTTTTTTTTAATTTATTTATGATAGTCACACACACAGAGAGAGAGAGAGGCAGAGACACAGGCAGAGGGAGAAGCAGGCTCCATGCACCGGGAGCCCGACGTGGGATTCGATCCCGGGTCTCCAGGATCGCGCCCTGGGCCAAAGGCAGGTGCTAAACCGCTGCGCCACCCAGGGATCCGGTGATGATTGTTATATCTCAGCAAGATATTTATAAACCTGTTATCTGCAGGGGCACCTGGATGGCTCAGTCGGTTGAGTGTCCGAATCTTGGTTTCGGCTTAAGTCATGATCTCAGGATCAAGCCCCACGTCAGGCTCTGCACTCATTGGGGAGTCTGCTTGAAAATATCTCCCTCTGCCCCTCCCTCAACTTCATGCATGCATGTACGCACTCTAAAATAAGTCTTAAAAAAACAAACAAACAAACAAACCCAAAGCCTGTCCTCTGTAATGTCTTTGAAAGCAGACTGCATACTTACTCAACCTATAGCTCTAAAAGATTGAGACAATATGAACACTGGTCTGTGTTTCAGCAAGGCCCTATTCAAGACAGATAAATTCAGGCAAGGGCTAGCCACCTTACAATCAAAGATGAAAAATATTACAGCTCTCTGTGCCAATGGCCTAGAATTGAAATTGCCTGGTAATGAGACCATATGAGACCAAAAAAAAATCCAACTGCTTCTGATTCTCAAACTGAGGCAATGTTAGGAGGTAACTGAGGAAGTAGCTTGGGAAAAAAAACAACTCTATGTTAATATTAAGGGAAACTGGGTAAGGGTACAGAGGAACATTCTATATTGTCTTTGCAACTTTTCTGTAAATCTAAAATTATTTCAAAACTTAAGAGTTTATTAAAACAAAAAATCCAAACAACAAAAATAATGGCCTGAATTCTTTCTCAAGCCTATAAAATCCTGCTTGTTGTAGCTTTAAAGAAACTTCTAGACTTCTAAAACTCCTAGATTTCTGGATACTTCTAAACTCCCAGAACTTGATCAGCATGAAGCAGGCTACAAAAGCTGCATAATAGCCCCAAGGAAGAACAGATCTTCAAAACCTAATTCATCTATGCCCTTGAAAGATAACAGGCAAAGGAAATCTACCAGAGGACAAAGTCAGGAGTCAAATGAAGTATAGTGGGGAAGGGAGTTTCTCCCAGAGGATAGAAGAGAGACTGTGATATGGGCTAACCAAGAACTTACTCTACTGCCTTCACTGTCTTTACAACTTCTGCCTACAAAGATTTTATTGCCGCAATAGAACAGCAACTCGTTAAGTTTCCTATTCCTGCCTTTTCTAAATGGAAATTTTTATTGTGGTTATCCTATGCCAGCAATGTATAATGATGTATGCATGGCAATGGGAGTGGAGAATACAGATTAACTTGCCTTTTAGGTATCAGACTATGAGGCACATGGTAATATGCACACTATGATCTTATAGAGAGAACTACACATCACCCAGAGATCCTGGACTCTGAACTGGTTATAATGACTAAACATATGGGAAGAATGATGAACAAGTATACTTCTATGGCTAAAGAGGTAAACTATAGTAGACTGTTAGTTGTCCCCAAATAACTGCTGTATCCTTCTGCCATAATAGGATTTGGGATAGGCCAGGCATATTTCCCAGTTTCTCATAATTTGATATAACAACACGACCAAATTCTGGCCAATGTGCACTGAAGTAGTGTGTACAATTTTCAGCCTTAATGAAAGCAGTAAGCCCTCACCTTTTGTTCCTTTCCCCCACTCCCACCAATAGGCATGCAAAAATGAGAGCAGAGGCTAAAGCAGTTATCTCGGTCCACTGTAGGTCAAAAGATAGTACTTGACGGGATGAGCACTGGGTGTTATTCTGTATGTTGGTAAATTGAACACCAATAAAAATTAATTTATTAAAAAAAAATAAAAAAAAAAGATAGTATGAATCTGAGCCCATGGTGATATAGTTTTAGGTATCACACCAGTCCTATCACCTACTCAGTTTTATACCTATTGCAGCAATAGGACAAAGATCTCCATAAATAAACTTTCTTTAGCTTTTTCCCCAACTACCTTCTGGTGACCTCTGACCCAGAATACTAGTTAATTGACTGTCAACCGATTTCTGTTAAGGCATTAATTGACCATTTGCAATAATATGGATGGAGCCAGAGTACTATGCTCAACAAAATAAGTCAGTCAGAGAAAGACAAATACCATATGATTTTACTCACATGTGGAATTTAAGAAACAAAACAAATATTCTAGAGGAAAAAAAAGAGAGAGGAAAACCAAAACAGACTCTTAACTATAGAGAACAAACTGATGGTTACAAGGAGAGAGCTGGGTAGGAGGAAAGGTTAAATAGGTGATGCGGATTAAGGAGTACACTTGTTGTGATGAGTAGTGGGTATTTTATGTAAGTGTTGAATCACTAAATTTTGCACCTGAAATTAATATTACATTGCATGTTAACTGAAAATTAAATAAGAACTTTTTAAAAAAGGTAATAACTGAGGTGTTTCATAACAGTATAATAACCATTTTCCCCCCAACATAAAAAATTCTTCCCATGATGAGGAAGAGATTGTGAGCTGGTGACTGTTCTGTTGTTAGGTCTATCCTTTTTTGTTCAACCAGAAAATACCTCTAAAACACTGATGTTCCTTGCATAGACATGTCAGGTTCACATCTTTTTCTTTTTACAGATAGCGTGCCCACAGGCAAGGGGGTAAGGAGGTAGTGGTGTGGGGAGGGAGACAGAATCTTAAGCAGGCTCCACACCAGGGTGGAGCTTCAAATGGGGCTCAATTTCATGACCCTGAGATCATGACCTGAGCTGAAATCAAGAGTTGGACCCTTAGCCAGCTGAGCCACCCTGGTACCCTGGGTTCACATCTTTTTTACTGCTAGGCTAACTTTTCACACAAATAGGGTAAAAAAAAATTCACAGGTAAAGAGAAGGAAAGAATTCACACCAAAATAACAGCCAACAAGAAACATCTGTTTAATGAGTTCTTCAATTCTATTCTTTGTCTAAGTATTGCAGATAAAAAAAGCTAGGATGGGAGAGGTAATGAAATTACCAAAACAATTAGCAATGGCCAGATAATCTCTATGGAGTCTATAATCTACCATCACCAAAATACTTTAAATTCTATTCTATCTTTAGCATTCTCATAAATTGTACCTCCTCCACCAATTTTCCACAGGGAGTGTGTCAATGTAAGAAACACTGATCTAGTGCCATTGGCATTCTTTTTTTTTTTCTTTCTTAAGATTTAAGAGAAAAAGCATGAAGGGGGGAGGGGCAGAGGGAAAGGGAGTGTGACTCCCAGACTTGGGGCTCAATCCCAGGACCCTGAAATCATGACCTGAGCTGAAGGCAAATGCTTAAGTGACTGAGCCACCAAGGTGCCTCTACTGCCATAAGGTTCTTTTTTTTTTCCCCCTTATTTATGATAGTCACACAGAGAGAGAGAGAGAGAGAGAGAGGCAGAGACATAGGCAGAGGGAGAAGCAGGCTCCATGCACTGGGAGCTCGACGTGGGATTCGATCCCAGGTCTCCAGGATCGCGCCCTGGGCCAAAGGCAGGCGCCAAACCGCCGCGCCACCCAGGGATCCCTGCCATAAGGTTCTTAAACCAACTTACGATGATGAATCATTTTCCTTAGGGTAATCTTCATTAAGCTCTGAACCAGATGATAACATTCTTTTTCTCTTTTCAGTCCTGTAGAGGACAAATAAAAAAAGTTATTTAAAAAAGCCATAATTTATATCATTAAGAAGTGTAAGTGTAAACCAACAAACTCAAGGACAAGAACCATGACTACTCCTGCCTAATTCTCTAAACCACGTTTTGATTAATATTCTGTATATGTGCATGCTCAGTATGTGTCATTGACATAAATTATAAATAAAACAATTACCTACTAAAAATATACTCTATACTTTCTTCTAACATACTTTACTAACCGCACAATCTCCTTTTTCTCAAAACATTTGTCTTCCTAAATGGCATAAAAGACACTTATTTATAAACAGGCAGAGCTAATGACTAAGAAAGAAAAAAAGTAAATCTTCCATACCTATTTTCTAATAACCCTGATCTAAGTGGTGTGGATGCAGATGTCAAAGAGGGAATTGTCCGGGTGACAGTTATTCCACTTCCTGTTGCAGTCTTAATTGATCCTCTACCTGGATTACCAAGAACTTTTCGAAATGGAATATCATCTTTAGTTTCCAAACTTCCTCTTTTTGAAGATGCCTGTAAGAGTGAAGTTTAACATAGCTAAATGTTCAAATTAATTGATATGCCTTTAGATCATTGATTCCAATGTGGAATCAATTTTAAAAAATACAACTGGAAACCCATCTCCAGACATTCTAGCCTAATTGGCCTAGGCTGAGGCCCATTCATTAGTTTTTTTTAAAAGCACTCCAGCGGAGTGTAATATACAATCTGTGTCAGAAGCTGAACTTGACACTTATTTTCTTCCAGCACGCCTATAAATTTAAAATTTCCACAATAAAACTAGAGGCAGAAAGGAATTTTCTTTGAATATTTGACTTAAAAAAAAAAAGACTCAGATACACAAGATATGATTTTAGTGATCAGGATAAAAATAAATCTTCAGAGAAAAAAATCCAGTATGATTATGATAAAGTGACATAAATGTGAGAAAAAGGAGCAACAATGACATTTGGTTGCCACAACTAAAATGCCAAGTCACAAATACCTCATATGACTTTTGATGGGATTCTAGTCTGGAGGAATGAAACCAATATATGTAATGATGGGAAAAATGAAACGAAGAGTCAGTCCACTGGCAGAAGATGAAATCAAAGCGTTTATCTTAAAGACACAGCAAGTACATACAGGGTGAATATGGCAATTTAAACATATTAGTTTGGGAAAAGCAATATTGGGAAACAGTGCTTCTGATCAGCTTTCTGCCAGTAAATTTTACTAGATTAAAAGCTATGTGATTTGTCTATGGGAGAAATTTCCAATTTCTTTCTTCTATAGAATTACATACAATGTTAGGATAGGAAGGAAAAAATCTCTGAGATCATCTAATAGTTTTTAAAAGTTATTTCCAAATGGGTAATACATTTTCAAGATTCAAATATCAAAATACTATTATAAAAGCCATTTCCTGTGATGTTTCATTATCACCCACTACTACTATCCACCAAATTCTTCCAGTTCCCATTCTCTTGTCCCTTATGAGTATGCAAATGCAAAGCAATTTAATTTTATCCTTTTTGTTACACAAGCAGTAGCATATTATATGTATGTTGTATGTTTTGCATTTTTAAAAATTTTAACCATGACCTCTACTTAACAGAAATATCGCAGCTATTATATATACATATAAATAATCAAATGTGGGCAGCCCCGGTGGCGCAGAGGTTTGGCGCCGCCTGCAGCCCAGGGCGTGGTCCTGGAGACCCTGGATCGAGTCCCACGTCAGGCTCTTTGTATGATGCCTGCTTCTCCCTCTGCCTGTCTCTCTGCCTCTCTCTCTCTCTGTGTGTCTATCATGAATAAATAAATAAAATCTTTAAAAAAAAATCAAATGTTTCAGAAATACTTATCTTTACTATGTATAATATCTCCTTTAATATTTTCTATTCTGTTTTTTAATTTAATCCCAGTTATGACCCATAACATTGATTTTACAATCCCGTTGATAAGAATCATTATTTGTGAGAGTATAAATATTTGTTTCTGCTTTATGTAACATTTATACATTTAAATATGGTAACAGTTTAAATTTCTACCCATAGATGAATCTCAAAGTAATTACACTGAGTGAAAAAGCTAGACCAAAAAAAAAAAAAATAATAATAATAATATATAATGATTTCATTTATTTAAAACCTAGAAAATGCAAACTAATCTATAGTGACAGAAAGCAAACCAGTTGAGGTTTAGGGATAGGGGCCAGAGAGAAAGCAGGAAGGAAGAATTTCAAAGGATGAGGAAACTTTTAAGGGTTATAGTTATGATCACTTGGTTGATTATAGTGATGATTTTAGAGGTATATACATAAGTCAAAATGTATCAAATTGTATACTTCTACTATGTGCATTTATTTTTTATTTTTTTTAAATTTTATTTATTTATTCATAGAGATATGGAGAGAGAGAGAGAGAGAGAGAGAGGCAGAGACACAGGCAGAGGGGGAAGCAGGATCCATGCAGAGAGCCTGATGTGGGACTCAATCCAGGGTCTCCAGGATCATGCCCTGGGCTGCAGGCGGCACTAAACCACTGCGCCACCAGGGCTGCCCCTATGTGCAGTTTAGAGCATATCAATTACATCTGAATTTAAAACATGAAAAACACCCCACAACCTATTAAAAAAAATAAAATAAAATCTTATTCATCGGTTAGTCCAGCAAATGGACTAAGTAATCATCTCTCTGCATAGCCAAATAGAACTCATCAGTTTACTTATAAAATAGTTTCAAAGTTTTTCTTACTTTATGCCTGGTTTCCCTTTAAAAAAAAAAAGATTTATTTATTTATTTATTCATGATACACATAGAGATAGAGATAGAGAGAGAGAGAGAGAGGGAGAGAGGCAGAGACACAGGAGGAAGGAGAAGCAGGCTCCATGTCAGGAGCCCAACGTGGGACTTGATCTCGGGACTCCAGGATCACACCCTGGGCCAAAGGCCGGCGCCAAACCACTGAGCCACCCAGGGATCCCCTTGCCTGGTTTCCCTTTATAAGATAAATTTTCAAAGACATAGCACTGCTATGTTGCAAAAGTGTAAAGCAAGTCTCATGGCTGTCGGAATATTTATGAAAGAAAATATTTAAAAAGCAAATGGAAAATCTTAACTAAAAGTCTGGTATCATATAGTGTAGGGGTAAAGTTCATACTGCACAACAGACCCAAAAGGCATCACAGACATAATAGGAGTAAACATTTATAGCATTGTTAGTATATAGTATTGTGGGCTAATAACACTTTTACATGCATTATCTCTATCTCACATAAAACCCTTAAAATATTATTGCTATCTCAATTTTACAGATGGAGAGTGAGGCTCAGGATACTCAAGGATCTTCTTCAATGACCCACAACTACTAAGTAGCAGCACCCAATCTCAAACCCACATCTAACTCCAAAGCTATGCTTTTAAAAACTACACTTTACTATGGTCCATAATGAATACCATGAGATGTAGAGTATAAGCTATATTGTGTTCAATAAATCTAAGAAGAATAGTATGTGATAAATTTTGAAAAGATTTCATAATAATAGATAACTTTTTTTAAAAGCTAGAAAGATTCAAATGAACATACCTGATTGTCTGAGTAAGAAAGCTGCCTGTTGGTTTCCTTCTGTGAAGTCCTGCTGCCCAGAATAGCTCCAAAACTACCAGACCCCTGAGAAGGTTTCATGGCTGGTGGGGGGGAAAATAAATAAATCCCAAGCCGTTTACTTTAATAGAGTTTAATCATCATTATAGAATACCGAAAAAACAGAAGTGTAAAAAAATGAAAGTGCTTATCAACCAATTCTGAAAGTTTACCAGATATATATAGCAATTTAAATTCAGAGCTAGAATCTCAAGCAAAAAAATGAAATAATATACAAAAACTTGGGAAGACGTAAAAGAAACATAAATTTTTAAATGAAAATGCTACAAATTCTCCCATATAAATATTTGGTAATTAACACTACTAAAAAGTTGGTCACTGTGTGTCTATGGCATGAACAGTGACACTGGATGCCAAGGAAACATGTCAGAATCGGAGACAGATATACTTCCAATAACGTATACTCCAAAGCATCCTCTATTAAGTTCAGCAAGCAGCATAAATGGCTTCTATTCCAAAGAAATCGATGCTAATTTAAAACATGTAAGGTACTGTAGAAGCATCAATTTGTATATACTTTTTTTGATTCATACTTTTTTAAGATTGTATTTATTCATTCATGAGAGAGAGAGGGAGGGAGGGAGGGAGGGAGGGAAAGAGAGAGGGGCAGAGACACAGGCAGAGGAAGAAGCAGGCTCCATGCAGGGAGCCCGACGTGGGACTCGATCCTAGGTCACCAGGATCACACCCTGGGCTGAAGGCAGCACTAAACTGCTGAGCCACCCAGGCTGCCCTGGTATATACTTTTAAAGAGTATTTTATCTCTCTCTGTGTGACTATCATAAATAAATAAAAATTTTTTTAAAAAAGTATTTTATACTTTAGTCAATTTCCCTCTAATTATTTGAAATGAACATTTTAAATTCTTTTAATTTTTAAAAAATGCAAACAATACTGAACATTCATTCTTTCACCTATCTTCTTGAACTAATAAAATGATTTTTGAGGACAGGAATTCTAAGAACTTTTTTTTTTTTAAGATTTTATTTATTTATTCATGAGAGACACAGAGAGAGAGAGAGAGAGAGAGAGAGAGAGAGAGAGAGAGGCAGAGACACAGGCAGAGGGAGAAGCAGGCTCCATGCAAGGAGCCCAACATGGGACTTGATCCTGGGTCTCCAGCATCACACCCTGGGCCGAAGGCAGCGCTAAACCCCTAAGCCACCCGGGCTGCCCTAAGAACTCCTTAGAATAAAAATTTCTAAAGGATGTACAGTTTTAAACTAAACTGGTATTATCACTTATTCCTCCAAAAAATATCTCGCAGTTCCTACCCAGTATTTGACACTATTGTGGTTCCCCTCACACTACTTGCCAATGTGATACCAAAAATTTAAATTTAATTAGTGGTGATGTTGAGATTTTTTTCATGTGTAAGAGCCATCTGTTTACTTCCTGAATTTCCTATATGCAGTTTCTATTTCTCTACTAGATTGTCTTTTTCATACTGATTTGGAAAGTACATTTTTGTATATTAGCAACATTAACACTATCACTGTGACTAATATTTTCTTCCTTTTTTTTTTTTACTCTTGCCACAGATCACTTAAATTTTTTACACAGTACAAATTATTAATCTTTTTTTACTGAATGATTTTTATGTCATACTCAGAAAGTTCTATTCCATCCAGATATTACATTAAAATCCACTCTTCCTCTTTAATAAAGCTTTTATCATTTTATGTTCAAATCCCTGATCAACGTAATTTTTTTTTGAAGATTTATCTATTTTAGAGAGAGAGGATGTGGAAAAGAGGGAGAGGATCTCAAGCTCACTACCCACTGAGTGAGGAGCCCAATGTGGGGCTCGATCTCACAACCCTGAGATCATGACCTGAACCAAAACCAAGAGTCGGATGCTCAACCAACTAAGCCACCCAGGAGCCCAAATGTAAAATCTATTTAGATGAATGGAGTGGAATAAAGGAGCCAGCTTTACTCTTCTTAAAGGGTTAGTTGTCTTGACAGATAACACTTTTATCAAATTTTAGTCTCTTTTCCACTGATCAGAAATGCCACACACTATATAATAAATGCATTATACTTTTCGAAGTATTTTTACATTCATTATCCTACTCTGGTCTCTGTAAAGTTTGTATTATCACTTTGGGGCAGCCAAGGCAACTAAACCCAAAAGATTAAAATAACTAGCCTAAGAGCATAAAACAAGTCACTGCTATTCTTAATTACTATCATATGTCAGTCATGCTTTATATTTATGAGTTCTTATTCTTTAATAAGCCCTGAAATTAAGGTGATATAACCCTTCATTTTAGAGAAAAGGAAGCTGAAATTTAATCATTAAGTGCTATATTGACATAAGTAGAGGTAGGATTCAAATCTAAATCTGTTTAGGTCCAAAACTCCTATTTTTCCATTTATCATGTTCAGATTCAAACTTGGGTCCCTAGACGATCTGCTGTGGTTTCCATTCCAATATATATAGACATGCTTTTCTTACACATCAATTCTTAAAACAGTGGTTCAATTAAAATGATGGGTATGATGGAATGAAACAAAAAGAGAAATAAATATAGACATAGACCCTGACATATTCTAAAAAAATGTTAACAGTATTCAATTCCTTGATTCTAAAATTCAACAGTTATTTAGTAAATTGACATAGCTCAGATTTGGTAACATGAACACATTGAGTAGGTACTAAATGGCACACAATCATAATTTTTTTTTCATTTTACAAGGAAAATAGCACATCAAATAGATATATTAAATATAAGCAAAGTAGCACTGCTACATCATTTTCTAATATTTTTATATTTAAGAAGCCCAATTTAAAGTCTGTCAACTCTAAAGTATTAGTAATTTATTAGTAATAAAGTTTTTTTTTTTTAGTAATAAAGTTTTGATAATAATAGAGCTGGATACTAACAGTAATAACAGAAAACTTCTTTTAAGCACTGGATTATTCCTTAAAAAGATCTATAACATTTTTTAAAAAATCAAAACAGGGATCCCTGGGTGGCGCAGCGGTTTGGCGCCTGCCTTTGGACCAGGGCGCGATCCTGGAGACCCGGGATCAAATCCCACATCGGGCTCCCGGTGCATGGAGCCTGCTTATGTCTCTGCCTCTCTCTCTCTCTCTCTCTCTCTCTCTCTCTGTGACCATCATAAATAAATAAAAATTAAAATAAATAAATAAATAAATAATCAAAACATTTTAAATGAAAAGGATTAGGAAGGGACAAGGGAATCTGATAATATTGTTTACGATTTTCTATAGTACTTGCTGTCTTCACAGTAAGACTAAAACCATGGAGTAAGTTTCACATAGACAAAGACAAGTATCTAAGATTTATATAACAAGGTAACTCTTCCCAATCATAATTTAAATCTTCCTCCTTTGCTAGCCATATTCTTTTGTGGAATCCTTAGGGTTTTCTCATATAGTATCATATCATCTGAGAAGAGATAATTTTACTTCTTCCTCTTTTTTTTCTTTAAAGTAAGCTCTACACCTAATGTGGGGCTTAAACTCATGACCCAGAGATCAAGAGCTGCATGCTCTCCAGACTAAGCCAACCAGGGACCCCCTACTTCTTCCTAATTTGGATGCACTTCATTTCTATTTCTTGCCCAAGTGCTCTCGCTAGGACTTCTAGTATTATGTTGGATAGCAGGAAAAGGCATTCTTGCCTTGTTCCTTATCTTAAAGAAAAATCTTTCAGTTTTTCATTGCTAAGTATGTTAGCAATGTATGTGGCTTTTCATCTACATGTGGGCTTTTCATCTACAGCTTTTATTGGGTTAAGGTAATGTCCTTCTATTCCTAGTTTCTTGAATGTTTTTATCATGAAAGGGTTTTGAATTTTATCAAATGCTTTCTCTGCATGTGGCTTTTGTCCTTCATTCACTCATTTGGTGTATCACATGGATTTTTTCCTATCTCGAACCATCCTTTCATTTCAGAAATAAATTCCACCTGGTCATGGTACATAATACTTTTTTAATTTTTTTTTTCTTAAGATTTATTTGACAGAGAGAGAGACAGAGAGTGCACGTGCACGCACAAGCAGGGGGGGGTGGCAGGCAAAGGGAGAGGGAGAAACAAGCTCCCCACCTAGCAGGGAGTCTTATGGGGGATTTTGATCGCAGGACCCTGGGATCATGATCCGAGCCGAAGGCAGATGCTTAACTGCCTGAGGCAACCAGGCACCCCTATACTCCTTCTTAAAAATATTTTATTTGAGAGCGACAGATTAAGGAGGGGGAGAGGGAGAGAAATAAGCAGTCTCCATGCTGAATGCCAAGCCTGATGCAGGGCTCAATCATGATGTGAGTCAAAACCAAGAGTGGGATGCTTAACTGACTGAGCCACCCAGGTATCCCGGTATATAATCCTTTAAATGTGCTGTTGAATTCAGTCTGCCAGTGCTTTCCTGGAGATTTGTGTATCAGTATTCACCAGGGACACGGTCTACTATCTATTATATTCTTTTTTAAAAAAGATTTTATTTATTTATTCATGAGAGATGCAGAGAGAGAGAGGCAGAGACACAGGCACAGGGAGAAGCAGGCTCCTCACAGGAAGCCCAACACGGGACTCGATCCTGGGACCAGGATCACACCCTGAACCAAAGGCAGAGACGCTCAACCGCTAAGCCACCATTATATTCTTTTATAACAGTTAATAGCAAACCCTGGGTAGATTTGTGCTCACCTGCGTGAAGTCTGTTTTGATGTACTGCATCTAGAAACAACCTCATTTCCTCTGCATCCTTACTTGGTACTTTGTCAATAGACAAAAAGCTGTTATCTTGTAGAGTTAACATTAGGCGGCTTTGTTTTGCTCCACTGGGTCGAAGCACCACATTTTTAATGTTATGACTTAGCTAATCAACACAAAAGGAAAATTATGTTATTGTTAAAAATATATGGTGACAAAGTATAACAAGTTATACAAGAAATACTAAACTTTATGCTTGCTAAATTTTATTTCTTAGTCTTTCCCATATTAATTTAGAGTTTTTTCCTTCCAACCAAAAAGAATTCCCATTTCTTGATACACTTAAGTCAAAGATTTCACTTTTAGGAAAGGCAAACATCTACTATTAAAACTTACTTACAAAGTAACCCTACCACTGTTGATTTTATGGTAGGGAATTGCATATTTTCAGGTATAGTTATAAAGCTATAAAAATTAGTGAGTTAACAATTTATAGAGCTGGGATGCCTGGGTGGCTCAGCAGTTGAGCGCCTGCCTTTGGCCCAGGGTGTGATCCTGGAGTCCCGAGATCAAGTCCCACATCGGGCTCCCTGCATGGAGCCTGCTTCTCTCTCTGCCTATGTCTATGCCTCTCTCTCTCTGTGTCTCTCATGAATAAATAAAATCTCAAAAAAAATATATATATACAGAGCCTAGATGGTTACACCAGTGCTAGCTTAGAAAGCCATATTGTGTTACAGACTTTCTTTTTCTTCACTCTCCCCACCTTTTTTTTTTTTTTTTAAACAAAAGCTTGTATAATATTCTGGCAATTGGTTTGGGTAGCTGTAAAATTTTTTTACTTAAAAAAAATTATTTAATTATTTATTCATGAGAGATACACAGAGAGAGAGAGAGAGAGACAGAGGTAGAGACATAGAGGGAGAAGCGGGCTCCATATGCAGGGAGCCCGATGCGGGACCCGATCCCGGGACTCCAGGATCACACCCTGAGCTGAAGGCAAACGCTCAACTGCTCAGCCACCCAGGCATCCCGGGTAGCTATAATTTAAAAGGATTTTTAACCCAAACGATCATCCTCAAAAGGATTCCAATTCTTAAAAACACATCAAAATGAACCTTTATCAATACAAGACATCTTTCTTCATTTCTGTCTGTACACACACACACACACACACACACACACACATTTTTTTTATTTTTAACTAATCTCTACACCCAGTATGGAGCTCAAAGTTATAGCCCCAAGTTCAAGAGTTGCTTGCTCTATCCACTGAGCCAGCCAGGTGCACCCATCTTTTTTTTCTTTTTTAAGTGTCTAAGCAGGCTCATTTAACTTTCATTCACTCATGAAGATCATAAGCACTCTAGAAACTAATTTAGCTTACTTTTTCCATTCCCCAAAATTGGTTCAATAATTTGTCTTATACTCTTCCAGACTCTGGATATGTGCTATGAAGTGATAACTTTTCTTTTCTCTTGGCCAAAATTTTTCCAAGACCAAATTAATAAATCTTGCAGTTTACTACCTAAGTAATTCTTGCCAACTAGGCATCTTTATTCTCTAATGTTCTCCCTCAGCAGGAGTATACAAAGGTTTCACAAGCCGCTTTTTGCTGAAACCATACCCTTTAAATATTATAAAGGAAGAATAGCTTTTTTTTTTTTAAGATTTTACTTATTTATTTATTCATGAGAGACCCAGAGAGAGAGGCAGAGACACAGGGAGAGGGAGAAACAGGCTCCTTCTATCTTCTGTCTATCGAAGGAGCCCGATATGGGATTTGATCCCCGGGCCGGGATCATGCCCTGAGACAAAGGCAGATGCTCAACTGAGGAGTCACCCAGGTATCCCGAAAGAACAACTTTTAATAATTTTTTTAAACTAGAATTGATCTTTGTCAATTTTTAGAGAAGAATGAAAATTAATTTTATCAGATTAATTTATATTCAATTTAAAATTATATATATATATATATATATATATTCAAAGTAGGTCTTAAATCTATGTTCTTGAGTAAAAATTCTATCATAAAACACAATAAACAGTATCAGAGGCTTTAACTCCGAAATATTTAAACAAGGAGTTTAACATGCAAAAGGAAAAGAGATCACATAACAACACTATTTCAGTCAATATACTACTTTTTAAAAATGAAAGTTAAATACATAAGACAAAAAGCTTGTTCATTATCAAACAAGATGAAAGAATAATCTTGAACTTGAGGTCTTCAACTGATAATTTTATTAACTACCATACGGTGAGGCCTTCTATCTTTTCTCTAAGTCCAAAAGACCTCTCTCATGGAGTTCCAGTCCTGTTTACCTAACACTTACTAGATACTGACCTCTGAATGCTTGATACCTCAAACAACTCATCTCTCAACCCTCCCACCCTAGTTCTTCCCCTCTGCTCCCTACTAAGACATGAAAGGCATTGTCATCCACTCAGAAACCAGTGTCTTCTTTCTCACTTCCCTAAATCTAATGAGTCAAGTCTTCTTTTAATCTCTTCCAATCTATCCTTTTCTCCTCTTGCTTCTTCCTACTGTCTTTTCCTTTGATTACGACTCTTATTCTTCATCTAAACTCCCACAATAACCTCCTATATGTCCTCCTTCTCCCACTATCTCTTGAAATAGTCATCTGCCTAGCCCCTAAGTGAATCTGAACTTGAGATTCTTGGCTCCTTAGACTCTAAGGTCCTCTTAGTATGACAAACAAGATCTGGTTCCTATCCAGCTCTTCAGCCTGTACTTCTGCCACGCACTCCTTACTGTCCATTTATTTTAAAATAATGTTCTGGTTTTCTGAGGGTTGATTTATACTTCCACGTGTTTGTCCATGGACAGAAATCACCTCTGCCCTACCTTCACTGTGCTTGGCAAACTCCTACTTATCCTCTAAATGCTCAGGACCAAACCATTCTTCTTTGTATTACTTCAGTGTCTCTGAAATATTTTTACATCTGAAAATGCTTAAGTTTGAGAAGAAAAGCATCTCACTTAGCTCTGTATTATTAGCACTTAGTATACAGTATCCGTCATGGTTATCTGTAGATAATTAACAAAATAAATGCTGGATGCATACTGATCTAGAACTGAGATAAGGCTGGAATCACAGCAGAATCCTCATTCTCCTCAACACCTATGTTTGCTTAAATATTTACTGACTGCTAATTTGGGTTGAGGACTAAGAAACTGAATCTCTATTTGAAAATGAATCTTTCTTTCATTGAGATGAGCAATTGTAGATACACGTAGGTGGCAGAAACTACTATTGTTTCTATTGCCCCTGTCACCACTTCCAATCTATTCAAGACGATCTCTGATATACAAAATCATAAGCAATTTATTTTCACAGTTCAAAAGCAAGGAGAAATGGAAATCTTACTCCAGCTCTAGGATTCTCAACATAAAGCTTCATAAATTGTTATTCACTAGAGTTTTTCAGTTTAGAATGATTATACTTTTGTATTATCTAATTAACAAATACAGAATTTTAAAGTGCAGAAAAATATGGTTTACTTTCTTAAATTCAAATTATGTCAAGATGAGTAGTTCTTAGCTGCACAGAATAGACAGTACAGAGGTAAAAACAAAATTAACTATTTTTTGCAGTGATAAAATAATGAAATTCTTCAAAAGCTTGTAGTCAGAAAACAGCAGTAAGAATGACCTTGAATAATCATCCTTGAATGGCCCATACCACAACCCTTGGCAGAATTATTTAGGAAGTATTTGGTTTTAGAAGATACTAATAAGTCCTATTAAGTTAATACTACACAGTGATGAATCTATCATATACTAAGAAGAGAATAACTAAAGTTATCCTAATGTGGTTTTTAAAATAGCTTTGACAGAAATAGTATTCAAACTCAGTTCTTCTCTGCTTCTTCTCAGTTTCTTTTCTCAATAATGGTGACTACTTCCCACTATTTATTATATACCATTAATGATGCTGTTGAATAATTTATAAAATATGCACACAAAACTATCAGTGTCCTGGAAATAAAAAGAATGTTAATCTCAGAGGAAGGCTACCATCACACTTACTATGGTACAAGGAGGCTATTCACTAAAGGTTATGATTCAAGATCTATTCCACATCAAAATTTGGTAATACCTGAAATATCCTTGGGATTCCTCCAGTATTGTAGTGAACTACTAGGCTGACTTTATTCTCTTTTTCCACAATTTCAAAGGACCCTTCTTTCCATTTTGTAATTCCAGTCTGCATGCTTCGAATTCTGATAGGACCGTGTATCTTCAGAGGAGACATTCTTTAAAAATAAATTGCTTCTAGCCAAATTAAAAAGCAAAAATACACCTTCACCTGACAGATTCTAAGGAAGAAAAATAAAATAGTAAGTTACAATTTACTAAAATAAGAGTGATTAAACTAAGAGTTTGAAAGAGCATTTAATAAACCATGTTATGTCCTTTTCTCTATTTCAATAAACCACTTTTTATTAAGCATCTTCAAAGGCCTTGATTAGCTGATAGGCACAAGAAAAACAACTAAATGTCACTGAATGTCCTTGACTACTAAATCTATCCACCTTTTATTTCTTCCGTACATGTTCTCTTCTTTGCCATATGTCCAGTATCTATGCCCTACTAGTGTTTAAATTTTGCACTATGCATCATTAACAGACTGCTGCCACTAAAGGCATATCAATCAGGAATATTGAAGATTCCACTGTCAATGCCCACATGTCAATTGCCCACAGCAATATAACCAACTTGTATCTTCCTTCATGAATGCTAAAAGGTCTTAAGTTTCAAATTTAGTTAAATATTTTCAGTCTGCTGACTCCATTTCTTAAAATGGAGTTCCTCTCAAAATATCAAATCATGTTACAAAACAATTCCTTCTGCCAGTCAGTAGTCTAAGCATCTCCATGTATAAAAGATAAAAGATACTAAATGAATTAAAATATTGTAATAATCAAATTAGTTTAACTTCCAGAATTATACTGAGAAAGTTATTCTCTAGGTAAAACAGAAAAAAACCTCTCTTCCTAAGAACCACCTAGCACTTATGTTTGATATTACTATAAAGTGAAAAGAATCCTTACCAATTTTCTTTGACAAATACTGAAATTTCTGAATGAACTTCTAAATACTTAAAAATTACTTCTAGTAATAATAGAATATTTAAGACTTTCAAACTAGTTTGCCAATATCAGCAAGTAAATACAATTATAATAGCAAAGAACATTAGTGCTGTTATGTACATATATACACAATCATCTAAAACAAATTTTATTTATACTCTTTTCAAATTTTCTAAAAACATTGCTAATAGATTCTTGCTTATAATTTTAGAAATTAAAAATCATCAGACTTTGCCTCTGCCTAAACAACTCAACTAGAAAAGCTTTAAAAATGTAGTATACAAAAGAAAAAATACAGGAGGTCTAGCTATCAGGAGCCAGCTGTCCCTAATTTATAACTTCCCTTTCTAACTATTAGTTTTCTCAATTGTATATAGGAAGGGCAAATGCTATAGCGTTGCAAAACTAAATGAAATAACACACATTAGGCACCCAACAGACAAAAGCTTTAATATGAATGAAATTAGTGTCCACTTTCTGAATTTACTCCTCACCTGCAACCCCATTCCTCCAAAGACCTCCAATTAAATAAGCTGTTAACAGGGATTAAACTCAACTGTGTAAAGGGACCATGCAGGTGACATGACTTAAGCAAGAAAAACTGCTACTGAAATCTAATTTTACCATACAGAATTAGTCAACCCAGGTATTGTCAGACCATCTAACTTCTCAAGAAAATGAGTTCCAAATATTTATGTAAAACTGCCCACTTTAAATTATGAGCAAGGAATTCAAATTTATTTTTAAAAGCAACAAATCAAGCAAAACCCACCTACAGGCAGGATATAGGCAGGATAGAGCCTGGGGGCCCTTAGTTTGAGGTCTTGTGGTATTAGATATCAAATAACTGGGAATAAAATTTAAAAGAGATGTTGAAAACACTTTAAATAGTTAAAAGGTGTTAGGCATTTTAAGTCTCCTTTACTATTCACTCATTTCAAATTTCCTGAATACCTACTTTGGCCAGATTTATTAATTTTTTTTTAAAGATTTTATTTATTGGAGGGGGGGGAGGGGGGAGAGAGAGAGCGAGAGAGAGCGAGAGAGAGAGCGAGAGAGAGAGCGAGAGAGAGAGAGAGAGAGAGAGAGAGAGAGAGAGAGAAAACAAGCAAGGGAAGAAGGAGAGGGTGAGGGAGAAGCAGGCTCAAGCAGGCTCTCTGCTGAGCAGGGAGCCCAACACAGGACTCAATCCCAGGATTCTGGGACCACGACCTGAGGCCTTTGGCTGACACTTAACCAACTGAGCCACTCAGGCACCCCGGCCAGATTTATATGGTATAATTTACTAGGTTTATGAACCCATCAAAGTAACAGAGCCCACTATTGTTTATAGATCTGTTAACATGGCACTGCTCAAACTAGTAACTACAGAATTTTGGACCAAAAATGTGTGGTTTGTAATACTTTTCTTGCAATTAATAATTTGATGCTTCAATGTTTGGATGTGTCCTTAGACTTTTCCACTCTGCCCTTAGACTTTTTTCCTGTCTCAGCATTGCCAAGACTGTGACCCCTCTCCTGCCCCAGTTGCCCATCCAGAAACAAGAGTTATCTTTGATTTTTTTCAATTACTAGTATTATATTGGAAATGAAGATCATGGTAGAGTCCCATCAATTCTTTTTTTTTAATTTTTATTTATTTATGATAGTCAGAGAGAGAGAGAGAGAGAGAGAGAGAGAGGCAGAGACACAGGCAGAGGGAGAAGCAGGCTCCACGCACCGGGAGCCCGATGCGGGACTCGATCCCGGGTCTCCAGGATCGCGCCCTGGGCCAAAGGCAGGCGCCAAACCACTGCACCACCCAGGGATCCCGAGTCCCATCAATTCTACCTCTATATACCTCTCAGACATTTTTATAATGAACTGTAGGTCAAACCACATCACTCTCCTTAATACCATTCAACAGCTCCCCACTGCCCTCACAATAAAATCTAGACTCATTAAAATGACATTAAACAACTTTCATGATCCAGGCTTTACTTACCTATCCCAAAGCCCTTCAAATCCAGTCATCTAAACTATTTATAATGTCCCCCCAAAAGTTGTATGTTCTCATCCCACTATACCTTTGCATGGTGCACTATGGTTTATCTCTGGAGAATCTGTATGTACTCTCCTTATCCCCCCAAAGGCCCCTTGATTTCTTCTCTTGGCTATAAAATCAAGGCTCAGCTTAGATGCTATCTCCTTAAGAAGCCTTTCGAGCTACCTTTCACTTTTTCTCTCACCCCATATCCAGACTGAGACTGCTTCATGCTTCTGCAGTCTCTGTTGTACCCTGTGCTTACCTCTAGTATAACATTGTATCATAAACTGTTCATTTCTTTGTCTCTATTTACACTTTGCTATTTGAAGACAGGGAATATGTTCTTTAAACTCTGAAACCCCATTTATGACAATGTCTGACACAGAAGAAATACTTATTATTCAAGAATAACGAACAAATCAGCCCTATCAATTCTATTCAATTTGCTATTAAAATATACAACAGCAGATACTGAAACTGTAAATCTCTCTTATATGGCCAATATAAAATTATATTTACTAAGTTCTTTTTTATTTACTAAGTTCTTTATAAAAGTATCGCTATGCGCTGTACTGCATAAAACTCATCTTTTGAACACTGCATCTAAGCCTTTTCTATGTGCATCTGAATTTCTCTACTAAATGCAAAGCTGTCCTTGTATCTTACCGAAATTCAAGGAAAGAAAAATCATTTGTGGAAGACTAAGAATTAATACAGTTACAGAATGCATTAAAACAAAAACGTAGGTAAACTTGCTTAAACTGGGATTCATATTATTTATTGCTTAATGAAGAAACTCCATGTTAAGAGTTCTGTCAGATTTCCTCACTTTTCCTTATATGTCACTACAGGTCAGGGTACCAAATTAAAAGATAATATAAAACTCTATTATCTTGGTGCTTTCTTAACAAACCAAAAGTAAAAGCCAATGACCTTGAATTCCTCTAACAAAATATATTTCTAAAAATTATTTTAACAAAAGTGGAGGTGAAGATTTCAAAGTTCACTAAAGCATATGAGAAACAAAAAAAACTATTGGTTACTTCTGTTTCTATATATAATTATTCTCTGTATGATTCTCAAACATTTTGATGCAAAATTTTAAGTATATGAAATTTTACTTCAGATACCAAACATTTCCTTAACCATTTCTACTAGCAATCCCTCTTTCCTTTAAGAAAAAACAACCCTAAAAGGTAGAGGATATAAAATTTGTAGAAGCAACAGAACTTTTTCTTAATCTCTCAATTTAGTTCATTCCTGGTCTTGTCCTAAATGAATTACTATATCTACTTTTGTACATTCATTATATTATCAAGGTTTGCTCTATCCAGTTAAAAGAAAAAAAAAAAACTAAGTTTCTTTTTCAGTGTGTAGCATGATCCTGTGGTAACAGTTAAACTTTCTATTAATCTAGGACAATGAGAAGCTTTCTTTGAATTCTATAATGCTAATTCCCTACCAAAGCAATATTACTAAGACAAGGTGTAAAAAAACAAATTATTTTTTATTTTTTTAATAACAGATTATTTAGGTATGTCCAAAGAGATTCCTCTTTCCCTAACTTTTTCACTATTAAAATTACTGTTCAACTTTGAGCATTCTATGAAAGCTTAATCAATAATATTGACAAAAATGTTTCTGTACCCTGTACAGTTATTTAAATGCACACCTTTTAGGTACTGCTCTGAAGACATCCTTATCTATAGGGTGTTCTGCATTAAGCAAGCATGCTAAAACAAAATTACTACAAAAATAGAAGGAAATTGTTAATTCTTGCTAATTTGCATAGTCTTGGAAAAAATATATCCAAAATAAAAAACATTACTTACTTTTCAGTGACTTTTACTGAAAAACCCTATGTAATAACAATTCACCTTTATTCTGATCCTTGTGCCAAAGGCAATGCACTCTTCTTGGGGAACTACTCATATTTTGCAGCTATGCCAGTTCTCCGGGAAGCCATCAACTCAGCTAAAGAAAATATAAGTGTGCCTTTTTAAAAGAAACCAATTTACAAAATTAAAATAAAAAAAAAGAAGAAAGCAATCATTTACACAAGATGAACTCTTTTTATTTAAAAACCACAAGTTACCTTACTGAAAACATTTAAAATATAACAACACTCAAGATACATATATACGCAATCAATAGAACTTTAGGGATGTATCTGCTGTACAAATGAGGGACTTGAGGTTTCTACCTTAACCATTTGTGTCTTGGTATATTTATTCCTGCGACATTTTGAAATTAAGACAACAGTGAAAAAGAGTATATTCTTTGTTAACTCTATAAACATTGTTACATAATGATGTCTTAAATCCTAAAATACCATTTCCATGATGTACTGATACAAATTTCGAAAGGTGAATAAATTGGAGTTTTTATTTTTCTTTCAAAACTAAATTTATGGATGTTTCTCAAACTTAGCCTCCCTAAGCCTCAACTTTCCATAAAGTTCTACCCAAACATCTTTCACTGCCCCCCTTGAATGCTATAAAATCAACTTTAAACTCATTCCTTCACTTAGTAAAAAAATGACTGAGTTACTTTAATTTGATGGCACAGTGGAAAGAATACAAATGTGAAGATGATACAGTCCACATCCTCCTTATGAGGATCCCACACTTCTCTGCATTTTCCTCCCACTATCATTCAGACAAAAAATTTTAGAACTATCTTTACCCTCATTCTCGTTCATCTAAAACCCAGCCTTTTTATAGCTGCTGATTCAGAAACTCATTTTGCCATCACTCCCATCTAATATTTATTATGCAACATTTACTAAACATAGTGCTAAGAGCCATGCTGCATTATCTCATTTAATTTTCCCAATAACCTTACAGGGATTATCATTTCTAGTTTACAGATTAGGAAACTGAGGTTTAGAGAGATTAAGTTAATTTATTCACAGTTACAAAATTCATTAAGAGACAAAAGTAAATCTAACACCAGAACCCATGTTTTTAACCACTACTACACTGTAACCTCATTAATGATTTGCAGCAACAATCACTTTCCAGTCTCCATTCTTGCACAATGTTTCCATTCAATGAATCCTCTACCCTATAATACCCTTTCTAAGGAACTACTCTCTTACCAAGTTAAGTATGCACTTTGTCTCCTTAACTTTCTAAGTGAGGAGCAGGGCAGGTATCTATCTTATCTTCTCTTGTACAACAAAAATACAAGCAAGTGCGAAATACTTGTTACTGGAGTCCATTCCCACCTTTTTAAAATTTTACTGTGGTAAGAATACTTAATACAAGATCTGCCCTCTTAACAAAACTTTAAGTGTACAATGCTTTATTGTTAACTATAGGTATAATGCTGTACAGCATACCTCTAGAATATTTTCATCTCAACTGAAACGTTCTCTCAAAACGTTTTTTACAATCAGCTTTTTAACAGCTCATCACTACGCATAAAATAAATCCAAATGCCTGTGTTTGGCCCTCATATACTTCCTGTATTTATTTCCTATTTTTATTTTTTCTTTTTAAAAGATTTTATTTATTCATGACAGAGAGAGTGAGAGAGAGAGAGAGAGAGACAGGCAGAGGGAGAAGCAGGCTCCGTGCAGGGAGCCTGATATGGGACTCGATCCCGGGTCTCCAGGATCACACTCTGGGCTGAAGGTGGTGCTAAACCGCTGGGCCACCGGGGCTGCCCCTATTTCCTATTTTTCAACACAAATCCTGTTCTACACACACAAATTAATAAATTTTGGTATTTTCCATATCCAACAACTTACTTAGGTAGGGATTTTTCTTGTATTTATTTTTGGAAACCTCATCCTCACTAGTCTCATAGTTTAACCTATTGTTAAAATATATAAACCACTGCTCTGATTTCTTTTCTAAAAGAGCTTTCTTTTCTAAAAAAATCCATAAAGCAAATGCAGACAGATAAAATTAGTGCATGACTAAAAGAACGAAGTTGACCTAGGTAAAGTTTCTCTCCAGTTTAGAGTCTAAAATCTAAATGATTTTATGACCAAAGAATGAGTAAAATCATCCATAGCTGGAAAACTCTTGGGTTTTTTTCTTTTGTATCCTTTAATTTGTTGAAGAGTGAAAAGGTTCTTATCATCAGATGACAAGATATCAGTAAGCTAGTGCTTCCCAAAGACATGACGGTTCCTAAAACAAGCTCTAGTTTACTTAACAAATTCTTGAGAAATAGAAAGGAAATAGCTATTAACATATATTCTAGTAGGAGACACATTTTAAACAATCACACAATATACAATTACAAGTTCTAAAAAGTGATACAAATATAACGTACAGGGCATGACAAGACATTATAATAAGGTACCTTATTTAAGACTTGGGGTAGTGGGTAGAGGCCAAAGCTAAGCTAATATTGAAGAATGAATGAATTTGGGATGGCCATACTGAACAATCCAGGAAAATACAACAGCATGAGCAAAGGACCCATAGCTGGAAAATAACTTGGTGTGACTAAGGAAATGAAAAGCAGTGTAGCTAGAGTTTAGTGAGCAAGAGGAGGCTGGAGCAAGATGAAGCTAGTGAAGGTAGAAGAATCAAGTTATATAGAATCCTATAGACCACAGTAAGGATTTTTATTTTTACCCTAAATGTAATAAACATTTAGTGATAGGAAATCCACTAAAGAGTTGTAAGCAGAGGGACACCTGGGTGGCTCAGCGGTTAAGCACCTGCTTTTGGTCCAGGGCATGATCCTGGAGTCCCAGGATTGAGTCCCACATCAGGCTCCCTGCATGGAGCCTGCTTCTCCCTCTGCCTGTGTCTCTGATTCTCTCTCTCTGTGTGTCATAAATAAATAAATAAGTACGTAAGTAAGTAAGTGTTGTAAGCTGAGAAGTAACATGTTACTCGAATGGAGAAATGATATATTTTGGGTTTGGGGAGGAGAGTAAAAGAAGGAAGAATCCAAAAAAGTAGGGCAGAAGAGAATATTGAAGTGATTCAGCTTATAACAATTACAATAACAATTAATGCTTACTGGCTATTTACTGTGTGCCATCTGCCATTTAATCCTCATAACAATCCAGTAAGGTAGTTATTATTCCCATTTTACAGATGAGAAATAAAGGGAACCAGTGACATTAAGTCCAGGTGAAAGATTGTGGCTTGAACTTGAAAACTGATACTGAAGATGTACAGAAATACATTCAGACGTACATATGACCCTTTGAACATGGGTTTGAAATGCATGGAGCTACTTCTACGTGACATTTTCAATAAATATAGTTATTGTAAAAGTATTTTCTGTTTCTTATGATTTTCTTAATAACATTTATTTTGTCTAACTTTATTCTAAGAATACAGCATAAAATATACATAGCACAGAATACGCGCTGACATTTACTTATCGGTATTCCAGTCAACTGCAGGTTATTAGTAGTTAGGTTTTGGGAGAATCAAAAGTTACATGTGGATTTTCAACTGGAAAGGGTCAGTGCACCATCCCTTGCATTGTTCACGGGTCAACTGTATTGGATATAGAACTTAAAGATACATGGGATGAAGGAGAAATCAAAAATGGATTTCAAGTTTCTAGCTTATATAAGTAGATAAATATACGACTTAATGAAACAGGATACTGAAGGACAAAGACTTGGGGTATGGAGAGAAAACTTAAGACTTTGGTTTTAGATGTATTATATTTGAAATTCCTAAGAAAAAAATCAAGTGGAGATGTCAAGCAGTTGGTTATTTAGATCTTGACCTGAAAATAAAGGGAAAAAGCTGGAAATTAAAATTCTTAAGGCTTCAACATACAGGTGGAATTTACAGCTTCGGGCAAATTAAGAATTTGCAGCAAAGGTGAACAGACCCTAGCACTAAACCCAGATATTCCATTTCACTCCATCAAACATCTCGCGCTGTGTTCATCAATTACTTTGATGTCACCCGGCTTTACAGTCCTCATTCAACTTTACATTTCAACAGCATTCAACAACTCTTGATTACTTCTTTCACCGAAGATTTGTCCTCTGTACAGTTATTAATCACCAAGAATCCCTCAGTGCTCCACCCTGGGTCCGTTTTTTCTAGCACTACACTCTCCTTAGGCAATTTCATCCACATGCATAGCTTCAGTTACTATCAACATGGCAGATGACACATATACATTAATTTATACAGCCTGTCCAGAGCTCTCCTTTGAGCTCCAACCCACTATATCCAACTGCCTCCTTGACAGCCTTAGACCTGTCCCCAGTTAAGAGACTTGTCCATACTGCCTACTCCCCCCACCCCCGCCAAAAGGCATTTACACAGAGCCGAAATTTTGAAAACGATTACCACAAAACCACTACAAGCCAATTCTCCAGAACACAGGATTTTGTCATCAGTGATCATTTCCTTTCCGTGGATCATGACCTAAAATAGGTAAACCTGACAACCTGATCTGATAGCTAGAAGAGGAGGAGCAACCAAACGCACGACAAAAATACAATCCATGCCTTCCAGTGAGAGACAGATAGGAGAGGGAAGAAGATGAAAAATGGTCAAGAGAGACTATCCAAGGCCTGATGGGTGTGCGGCAACGGAAGTCACCTGAAGAGACAGCAGGCCTTGCTAAGGGGCGGGTGGCGGGCGACGACAGCCCCCAGCGAAAGGGGGCCAGGTTTGGGTTGCGGAGCAAGAGCGTGCCAGGGAAGACCAGGTGAAAGGAAAAGGAAAGCCTGGGGGGAAACCCCAGAGGAGTACCTGTGAGGCCCTGGGAGCGCCGAAGGGGTGGGGGTGAGCGGAGCAGCAGCGGGGCGAACTCCAGAAGAGTGAACGCCGAGTGGGCGGACCGCAAGGGGCGGGGGGGCGGGGGAGGGGGACCTGGGAAAACGGCTCGGTTGAGAAGCTGGCCGCCGGGCCCACCTTACCTGTGCCTGCGGGTCCGGAGCCCTGCACCGGCCTGCCGGAAGCACAGAGTCCGCGCGGAGGGGGAGGAGCCGAGGGTAAGGAAGGAAGGGACCCCGGGCACGGAGGAGAGCGGCCGCTCACTCCCCCTAGTCAGGGAGAGCGGCTGATGGCGGGAACTGTGACCACACGCAAACACGCACGCACGCACGCACACTCGACGCGACCGGACGAGGCGCGTGCGCGCAAGCCTGCAAGCTCCGCCCTTCCTACGCCTTCGCCCCGCCCCGGCACCGAGCGCCGCCTAGCCGAGAAGGCCCCACCCCCGCGGAGAAGTGGTACGCATGCTCACTCGCCGCTTCACGCACTCTGGTCCTCCCATCCTTTCCCTCCTACACTGCCCGGTCGGGCATGCGCACTACGTGTCCTCCGAGGCCGCCCGGCTTTTCCCGCCCTTCACTGGCCTCCGGAGGAGAGTCAGAGTTCACGCCCCTGTCTGGGGAATACCTGCGCACAAGCCAGAGGATGCGGGGACTAGTAGGTGGCAGACGTCCTTCTGGCTCAGAATCTTAAGGGGTAAAGGACACACTCTGGGACTCTCAACTCCGCCGAGAGCCAGGAGGCGGGAAGAGGTGTGTGGGCGGGGTCAGGGGTGAAAGGTCATAGGGCCGCGAAGGGGGCGGAGCGAACCGGAGGCGGATGGCGGCTGCGGCGGCTCTTCATCTTTGGCGGCAGAGTCACTGAAGCGGGGACGCGGCTCCGGCGCGTCCGGCAGCGGGAGAAGAGCGGCGGCCGCTCCCAACATGCACAGCCTGGCGACCGCTGCGGTGAGTAGCTGGGCGTTCCGGCCTGGGCCCAGACCCCCTCCTCAGCCCCGCGTCTCGGCCTGCTCTCCGCGGTCCCCGCGTCGGGCCCGGCGTCCAGCTCCTCCTGCCCCCCGGCTGCGAGGCCCTGGCCCTCCTCCTCGTCGCGCCCGGACTGTGGCGGAGCTGACCCCCCACTTTTCCCTCGGGTCGGCTCTCGCGGCCTCCTGCGCCGCGTATCGCGTTCTTTTCCGGCCCCGGGGCCTGGTCCCGCGCCCGAGCGCCTCCCTCGCGGCCGGGACGGGCCATTCATTGATTCCCTGCGCTGACCAACAGTTAGTTTCAGGTGCCGGTTGCGTGCCGGGCGGCGGCGGGGATGACGGGGAATTCCGTGGTCGATCCGACACGGCCCTTGCGCTCGGAAGTCATGCCCGGGCACTTTGCAGCGGGAAGGAAATGGCTTCTAGCTCGCCCCACTTGCTTCACGGGTGGAAAATCTGAAATTGGGAGAAGTGAATAATCACCACGTCTGACTTACGGTTCCCTGCGCTTAAAAGTCCCCCCCCCACACACACACACACCTCATTTTACCAGGGCGGTCTTTTAACAAGAAAAACGGATCGTGTAATTCACCCGTCTGAAGTAATTTTTTGGCTTTCCATTGCATTTACATAAAATCCAGACTCCTTGCTGGGGCCTACAAGGCCCTCCCAGTGCCATACGGTCCCTACCCACGTTTTGCGGTGTAATCTTACATCACTTGCTTCGTAAGCTCCAGCTACATCGGCTGCCCCTGCTTTTCCACTCGGCTTGCACTTTCTGATCTCTATTCCTGGGATGCTCTTCTTACCGCGTACCCACCCCCAGTTGCACATGCCCATACACACCCAAGCATGTGGGTATAACTGGATCCTCTTCCCTGGGGTCTCTGCCTAAATCTCCTTAAAATAGCCTTCCCTGAGCACTCTTTTTAAATTTTTTTTTAATTTTTATTTATTTATGATAGTCACAGAGAGAGAGAGAGGCAGAGACATAGGCAGAGGGAGAAGCAGGCTCCATGCACCGGGAGCCCGATGTGGGATTCGATCCCGGGTCTCCAGGATCGCGCCCTGGGCCAAAGGCAGGCACCAAACCGCTGCGCCACCCAGGGATCCCAGCACTCTTTTTAAATAAGTTCTGTAACCCCCAACTTTTCTCTGTTAAAACATCTTTATCAGCGCTGATCCCAGTTTTGTCATTTCTGTGTTCATTGACTTGTTTGTTGACTGTCTGTCTTGAGGGCAAGGACCGAGATCCTGTGGGTCCTGTTTACATGGTTACCCCAAGTGCCAGGACAGTTCCTAGCACAAAGTAAGGGCTCAAATATTTTGCTGAATGAAAGAGTATAGATGAGGGAGGTGACTACAGAGAGCACACAGCCATAATGGGAAAATGAGATCGTGTGATTGGAGTACACTCTTCTGAGTACCAGTTGCCCTTTTCCTGTTTAAGATGAAATGACTCAAGAGGGGTAGTATACTTAAATTGTATTATCAGGAAAAATGACGTAAGTACTAAACAGGGAATCAAAAAAATTACTTTAAATATAAAAAACTGGCATTGAGTATGACTCAGCTGTAGAAAACATTGCTATTTCCAGGGCCAGTGGCATCTCTGCCACCTTGTCATCATGTTTCTAAGTGTTCATAACTACTCAGTGGATACCTTTACATCTTTCAGTTAGATAATTGTGTTTCCTCCAGCTTTGTTGTTTCTTCTCCTAAATTATACATGCAGTTGAGGAAGAAGCAAGTCAGAAGATGAGGTTGCTGTTGGTAGGGGAGGGATAGGTTACACAAAGGATTCTTCTAAGCTTGGCTTGTCCAATTCTCAAAATCTGATTGTGTCTTCTCCAGGCTTTTGTCCATGACTCTCCAAACACCATGCTTACTCAACTCCTTTTATTTTTACTTGTTATATAATGCATCGTTTAAGAGTTATTATTCATTTATTTTGAGAGAGAGGCAGAGGGAGAGAGAGAATCTCAAGCAAACTCCCTGCTGCACATGGAGCCCTACTCAGGGCTCAATCCCACAACCCTGAGATCATGACCTGGGTGGAAATCAAGAGTTGGACGCTTAGCGGACTGAGCCACCCAGGCGCCCCAAACTAATGTATCTTCTGAACAGCCATTAAAGCTGTGGTTCATTACTTATAATAAATATTCAATACGTGTTTCTTTAATTAAATTTGCAGTACTTTACATTGATTTAAAATTTAAGATTTTAGATATATTTTCATCCATCAATGCTTTTGAGCTCCCACAGAAGCTCTGAGAAGTTCCTTTGTAGCATTCATTCCTGAAACTATTTGGTTACTGAGGAAACTGAAGCATTGACAAGTTGAGCCACCACCTCTTTCCCAATCCTTCATGCATTCTATTAGACTAAACTGCCTGTGTTATTCTGATCTGGGTAAAGGGACAGCAATGGTATATGATAACATACAACAGTGCCTGCAATAATCTAAGCCACTTGAGAAGATGTTTTTTTGCTTGATGACAAATTTTGTACTTGTGTGTACCTTTATCTCTTTTTTAAAATAACAAGTAGAGGGCAGCCCGGGTGGCTCAGTGGTTTAGCGCCGCCTTCAGCCAGGGTATAATCCTGGAGACTCAGGATCGAGTCCCGCGTCGGGCTCCCTGCATGAAGCCTGCTTCTCCCTCTGCCTGTGTCTCTGCCTCTCTCCCTCTGTGTGTCTCTCATGAATAAATAAATAAAATCTTTAAAAAAAAATAACAAGTAGATCATCACTTCAGCTAGAGCAATAGTACTATCAAAGGAGAATGTGATCACATGAATATAGGATTTTATTCACTAGAGGAAAGAACTGAGAATTTGGGAAGTATCTTAAATTTTGACTCTTTAATAGTAGTTTATTAGGCTAGAAATGCACAATATAAGTAGACTCACGTCGAACTTTACAGAATACATTTTAACATTGTCATTATTGCCACCATGGAATAGAATTTCTTTCTGACGTCTGTTAAATACGACAGAAATACCACACAGGATTATTCTAAAGAGGAAATAAGAATAGCAGAATGCTCAGTAGTTGTTTAGGTACACTCTTTGGTTATATGACTTGCTCCCAGACTTCAGCCTTGGGAGTATAATTTCTGTCTCAGCAAAGTAACAAATCACTTTGTTGTGGACCTTGGAAGTTGTTTCAGAGTTAAAGCATTACAGATCTTCACATACTGTGGATCTTTAATGAATGTCATACTAGCAATCAAATAGTCAAAGGTAAGCCTTTAAGAGATGCATTGGGTATTTTTTTTTTTTTTAAATTTCCTCCACTAATTTGCACTAGCAATTTTGGCATTCTCATACACATTTTCCCCCTTACTTTATACCTAACCAGTAGTATCATGAGTACATCTTTTTGTTGAAACTGTGCTAGACTCCCAAATTCTCTTGTCTGTGGCAAGTAGAAAGAACATTGTGAAAAAAAAAAATTTAAAAAAAATAAATAAAAATAAAATAAAAACATTGTGCACTCTGAGGGATCTGATTTAAACACTGTCTCCTCTCATGTCTTCTGTTGAAGCTTTAAGCAAGTTGCCTTAACTTCTCTCTGTTCACTTTTTTTTTTTTTTAAGATTTTATTTATTTATTCATTGAGAACTAGACAGAGGCAGAAACACACTCCCCATGGAGAGCCTGATTCAGAACTCGATCTCAGGACCCTGGGATCACAACCTGAGCCAAAGGCAGATGCTCAACCACTGAACCACCAGGTGCCCCTCACATTTTTAAAAAGATATTTTGAAGAACATTCTGGCCTTTATAAAGATAAGATAGTTCATTTAATATTTCCCTTTGGCATTATTTAGAAAGTGTTTTCTTAGATTATCATCATGTAGACACCAAAGCCACATGTTGAGTCATCTCCAGATTTAGGAAAATAATCTCTATTACAATCTTATACCATTCTTTGTTTATTGACTGTCACATATTTATTGGTAGAAAAACCAACAAGTATTTTGGCTCTTAAATGTAAAGTTGTATTGAGGGATTTGGTTATTTTCTGTTTTAAAAAACCATCCATCAATTTTGTGGGGCACCTGAGGGGCTCAGTGATTGAGCATCTACCTTTGGCTCATGTTGTAATCTGGGGGTCCTGGGATGGCGTCCCACATCAAGCTCCCCATGGAGAGCCTGCTTCTCCCTCTGCCTGTATGCCTCTGCCACTCTCTCTGTGTCTCTCAGGAATAAATAAATAAAATCTTTAAAAGTAAATAAATAATTTTTAAAACCCCCCCCCAAAAACATGAATTTTGTAATTTACTCAGAGGGTATGTCATATTTTGTTCCCATTTATGGATAATGTGGGTCTTTTTTTTTTTTAAGTTGTGAATGTCTTTCTCCTTTTCACATGGGAGTCAAGATCTTTCAGAGATGAAAGATCAACTGTCTGCCATGTGTTTGTGACACTTAAGAGTTAACCATTGATGACTTACTTTGGTAAATGTCTTGCCTGTGTTAAGCTTTGTTGAAAGAAAGAAGTTCCTTGAAATACATTTTTCATATACAAACCATTAAACAGAAAAGAGGAGAGTGATTTCCTCCTAAATTTTGATAATATAAATATTTTTAAAACATATCTGTTATGGGGATCCCTGGATGGCTCAGCGGTTTGGCACCTGCCTTCGGCCTGGGGCCTGATCCTGGAGACCTGGGATGGGGTCGCACATCAGGCTCCCTGCATGGAGCCTGCTTCTCCCTCTGCCTGTGTCTCTGCCTCTCTTTCTTTCTCTCTCTCTCTCTCTCTCTCTCTCTCTCTGTCTCTCTGTCTCTGTCTCTGTCTCTCATGAATAAATAAATAAAATCTTAAAAAAAAAAATCTGTTATAAGGAAAAGACCACTAACTTTAAGGAGGTTATACCTAAAAATACACAGTTATATGATTTCTAATCTTGGAAGTAAGTGTTGAGAATGATAATAGTCCAACTCATTCTTCTCATAAATGACCTTCTGGTTTCT